CCGTGGCGACATTCGGAACCACCTTCACACTCCTCACTTGAAGTGCATTCACCCCGGCTTGATCCTTGGGGTTCGTTAACGTTTGAGAAGGTAAGGCTCCCTTGGGTCTCTCGGTGAGGATGCCGACAAGATTGCCAATTTGGACCTCAAAACTTTGGAGGCTCGCTGGATGGCTTTGAAGACCCGCCATAACCGAGGTAAACTTGGAAGTCGCCACATCCATGAATTGATCTATCTTCTCGAACTTTTGGCTACTTCTACTCACGAAGGTGTTCACTAGGTCTTCAAGCTTGGAGAGCTTGTCGGGTTGATGTTGTTGATGAAACCCTAGGGCACCTTGTGATTGGTACAGTTGTTGGTAGTTTAAGCCTTGAAGTTGGGGTCTTTGTTGGATGAAGGTGGGCCGGGGTTGGAAACTCCCTGTGGGGCCTTGGAAACCCGGGGACCTCGGATTATTCGGTGACAACCAAGCAAAGTTGGGGCGGTTCCTCCATCCGGGGTTATAAGTATTGCTATACGGGTTGTTGACCCTAACATTTGCCACGAAGTTGACTTGTTCCTCCGGAGTGGTTGCCTCCTTCATTGCTTGGCACTCCGCCATCTCGTGGCTACTGCTCGAACACCATTCGTATGACATTACCGCCCGTTTTCCTTGCCTTTTATCTTCAAGCATAACCTCAAGCAACTTATCCAACTTCTCCTCAAGCGGAGCACTCGCTCCCACGCTTCTCACTCCCCTATCATTGCTTCTTCTTCCACTTCTAGTCAACCCTCAATCGTATCCCCTAAGGGCCATGTCTTCAAGTATCTCGGTTATTTGGGGTCGAGCCATATTCATCAATTTCCCTTGACACAAGGAGTCAAAGAAGATTTTATCTTCTTGCATTAGGCCTCCATAAAAGGTTTCGATCCGAAACTATTCTTCAAACCCGTGGTGAGGGCACCGAAGAAAGTAATCGGAGTACCTCTCTCAAACATCCCTCAAGGTCTCGTCCTCTTCTTGCTCAAAATGTGTAATCTTCTTTCTCCACTCCGCCGTCTTCGATGGCGGGCAATAACTAGCCATAAACTTGTTGAGGAGGTCGTTCCATGAGGTGATAGACCGAGGTGGAGGTTGTTTAGCCACCTAAGTGCTTTCCCCGAGAGTGAGTAAGGGAAAAGCCTTAGTTGCAAAGCTTCGGTCGGCACACCATTAATTTTCAAACTCCCCGCGAGCTCCAAGAATCTCTGCACACGCTCTCTTGGTTAATCGCTCTGAAGGCCGTGGAATAGAGCATTACTTTGTATCATAATCACAAGAGCCGGCTTGATCTCGAAATTGTTTGCCCCCACTGGAGGATGTAGGATTGGCGATTGAATGGCTGCCGGCCTTGGGGACATATAGTACCCCATCGTTCTCGGGGCATCCTCTTCCTCCGCCGTATCGTTCAACTGGCGGGCTTAAGCGCCATCTTGCCTTTGGTTCCCCGCCATTTCCACTTCAATGACGGGTTCAACTTCCACTTCTTCAACTACTTCTCCACTAACACCGGGACCCAAACGTTATCCCTCTCTTTCACTTCTTCTTCTTGCCTCCGCTAGCTCTCTCTCTCCCGTGCTAGGAGTCGGAGAGTTCGGTTTATGTCCTCATCAAGTGGTAGTAAAGGTGTCGGGTTTCTCCGGGTCATGCACCACCTACACACAGTCGGAAAACACACCATGTCTAGCACAAGCAAATCACACACACTTGTAAAACTGGAAATTAAAAGCTAGATTAACAACCAACAACTTTTTCAGAATAAAAGACCGTTGTCCCCGGCAATGGCACCAAAAACTTGACTCGCATGAAACTACACCACAATAAAACCCCAACTAGAGCCCAAGTTTTTAAACTCTAGTCGGGTGTAGTATAGGGCAAGTATTTAGATATCAACCCGGGACGGTCCGTCTACCCCTACTTCAGTTGTTGCAATCATTATCTAGCAACATTGTTTGGTTAAAGGTTTGCTAATTGAAATGAAAAAAACAAAGGCAAATGGTTTTGATAACTCTTTGGTGGAAAGATCACTCGGGTGTAGCTTCCCCCTAACTGCTACCATGCTATGTGGATTGGAACGATTGTTTTGGGCACGATAATCGCGAACCGCAGAGGGATGCATAGGTGATCCGAGACCACAATGTCAATTTCTAAACCGAGGTAAGCATGAAAGGCCATGTCACTCGACCCTCTCGGTTTAGAAAATCGGTAATTGACTTACTCCCTCACTCAACTCTAAGGTCAGACGGCTTAATCGTGATTAACCCATTTGCTTAACTCAATATTGAGGGTCTCCCTAACTTAACCTAGTTTAGGTGGCTTAGAAAGCGGAAGGAAAACCAACTCGATTGAGTCTTCCTTGGAAGGGGGATTTTCCTCTCTAAGCTAGGCTAAGGTGGCTAATTAGATTGCTAGCACCTACATGCACAAACCTAAGGGTGCTACGCACAAAACATGCACAACCCCTAAGTTGCTAAGCACAAGCATGCACAATCATGATAAATAATGCCTCAATCATTGAATTGAACAATACTCAATGACAATTATCCAATACACATAAAAGAAACTACATGGTAGAGTTAGGGTTTCACAACACTCAAGTGAAATGAGGTCTACTCAATCTTGGAGGATGCTCCCAGTCTTCTTCGCCCTTAAGTTGAGCTTCCCTTGGAGGAAATCTTCCCAAAATCTGCCTTGAAGCTAAACCCTAGCCTTCTTCTCCCTTTTGTTCGTGTTTGTCTCTCTAGAATGTTGAAGAAGGCCTTTTCACACACAATGGGCTCCCCCTCTCTCCTCCTTTCATCTCATCATTTAAACCCGAGATGAGCTGAGTTCACGGCCATGAACCATGAAACGCGCCCGTGAACTCCATGCGTTCACCAAAACGCGCCGCATCATTCACTTCCGTTCACGGTAGACTACCCTCGTTCACGGTCTTAGTGACTGTGAACTCACCTTTCGTCAGTAACCTTCACTTTGACTCTGGACGCCTCGCTATTCATGGTCCATGGCTCTTCTTCACGGTCATGCAAGACCGTGAACTTGCTTGGTTAGCCGTGAACTGGCCATTATTCACCTCTTCTGCCGGTTTTCGATCCTTTTCGCCAATCTTTCGACTCCGAGGCTAGTTTCACCTGTCAAATCCTGAAACACACTAAAATACGCGAAACCTCGAGTAAAACCAACCTTTTAAGAGTGAATTTGGCATAAACATCTAAGTAAAACGGGGGGCAAAACATGTACAATTACGCCCGAATCAGTCCCCCATGGCAATAATGTGATAATCTGAAACATGGGGTAAGCCCAACATGTGTGGCACTATTCATTGCACAAAATCTAGTTTTGGAAGAGATTTTAGTGATCCTTAGTGAGATGCTCCTACAAGGTCAAGCTAAGCTATCTCTAGTACAAGTAAAATTTCCACCCGTTGAAGGGTTTGCCTACTCGGGGATGTGTTTTTAAGGGCATGGATAGAGCTTCCGAACCCCCTTGATTTCATTGACCCTCCGCTGGCGAGCGACAGATGTACAAAAAACTGCTCTTTCTCAACCAATTAGGGTCGACTGCGCATAACTGCAGTTTGGAACCCCAGCAGTAAATGAAATGAAAGAAAAAGAACAAAAACAATAATGAAAAGGGGTTCCAAAAAATGAAATGAAATGAGAAGAGCACCTGATACAAGAGTCCAAGTTTGTGTGTGTTGTGTGAATCTCTTTATCCATGAATTGTTTATCCTAGGTCCACTATTTGGCATGATTCTGGCTTGAGTCTAGTACTCGCATTGAGAGAAGTAGTTAAATGATCTAGGAAATCGTCTACCGACGATCGGGGTTGCATGTTACTGTAAAGGTCTAGAGAGTTGCATTGGTTTGAGTTAGGTTTGCTTGGGGACAAGCAAACGGTTAAGAGTGGGGAAATTTGATAACACTATATTTGTACATGTTTTTACCCCTCATACCTTGATTGTTTAGCTTGGTTTTATCATACTTTAGCATATTTTACGCTAGGTTTTGTTCATTTGTCACATTTCATGTCCTAGCACGTAAATTGAAGAATAAGGGCAAGTTTCAAGTCAATCGGAGATCATTTGGCAATTCGGGAGAAGAAACTCGACCCTGAGGAAGAATAGATTTCTACCTCATATTATGGACAAAGAGTCATGGAAGCTTGTCATGAAAAGAAAGGGAACGAGACTACGGCGTCTGGGATCAAACGGCGACTGATTCAGAGTGTGGATGATTGAGAAACGAAGCATTAAACAGGAGCGGAGTAAGAAATACGGGCATGAGAAATACAACCATATTTTTTCCTCCCGTGCCCGTATTTTTAGTGCCGAGAAGAAACACGGGCAAGGCTAAAACACGAGATGCAAAGCACGACCGTGTTTCCGCCTTTTGCTCGGGTATAAGTCTGTTTTCTGCGATTTTTAAGGGGGAAGGCTGGGTTTTGGTTCCCAAACACCCAAGGTGTTAGAATATGACTTAAATTTGATTGGGTTTGTTTTTTTGTTTTGGGCCTATTATTTTGGTTTGTGTTTGGGCTTTGTTTTGACCTTTTCCTTGTATGTTTGAGAAAAGGTGTTTGGTTTTCTGTTTGGGATTAGGAGAAGAGTTCTATAAATAATCTTCACCACCCTAATTTGTAGTAAGGTCAGTCAGATTAGTTTGCTTGGTTTGTTTGTTCTGGAATTTGGTTTGTAACTTGTACTCTGCTAAAAATCAGAGAATTTTGTTCTCCCTTGCCCGTGGATTAGCTAGCACACATTGTGTTAGTAAACCACGTTAAATTTGTGTTCGTTCGTGTTGGTCTGGATTATCGATTCCACGCTTATGTTCTGACAAGTGGTATCAGAGTCTGGTTACGGTTTTCAAGATTGATGTAGAAAACGATAATGCGAAAGAACGATAACGCACAACACAATGATTTACGTGGTATCCTTGTTCGGTGTGAACAGGACTAATCCACGAAGAGCTCAACCGAGCTCTCGATTAATGACAATTTATTATTGATGTAATAAACTGACCGGCTTGCTGCTTACAATGAACCTGCAGCTAAGCTTTTATACAAGACGCTAGGCGGCCAAGACCTAGTGAAATTCGGCCAAGAGTTCCCTATTAAGACAAGGAGAACCGACAATAACTTGGACATCAAGACAGCTGTGGACAGCAGCTACAAACGACGACGCGTAGTGAATTACTACACTTCTACACTCCCCCTCAAGCAAATGCGTGAATGTAAAGCATACCGAGCTTGACAAGAAGTTCCTGAAATTGATCAACACTCAAGCCTTTAGTGAAAATGTCTGTGGGTTGCTCGGTCGTTGCAATCTTGGAGGGAAGAATATCGTCAGCAAGAACTCGTTCCCGTACAAAATAACAATCCATATTCAACATTCTTGGTGCGTTCATGGAAAACATGATTAGCAGTGATGTGCAAAGCAGCTTGATTATCACAAAAGAGAGGGGTAGGAGCACGCAAGTGGTGGCCAAGTTCGGCCAAGAGCCACAGCAACCAAATGAGCTCACTGACAGGGACAGCCATGGCACGGTACTTGGCCTCAGCAGAGGAGCGTGCAACAACTGACTATTTCTTAATACGCTAGGAAATGGGGGCACCACCAAGTCGAATAAAGTAGCCAGTCGTGGAGCGATGGGTGGTGGACAACCAGCCCAGTCAGCATCGCAATAAGCGGTGAGAGACAAAGACTCGCCTGTCGGGAAGAACAAACCACGGCCCGGAGACTGTTTAAGGTACTGGAGAACTCGAACAACAGCCTCCACATGAGCTTGTGTGGGGGCATGTACTTCCTAACTCAGAATGTTCACGGCATACTGAATGTCAGGACGGGTAACTGTCAGGTACAAGAGTCGGCCAACAAGATGCCGATAGCTAGAAGGATCTGATGTCGGATCAGAGGGCAGACGATCTTTTTGATGGCCTTGCTCGATAGGTGTGACACACGGCCGAGTGGCTTCCAGGTCACAATCTGCCAGGATATCCAACACGTACTTACGCTGGTTGAATATTATGCCTTTGTGAGAACGTGCAACCTCAATACCAAGGAAATATTCAAAGACCCTAAATCCTTGATAGTAAACTGATCATGGAGATAATCCTTGACACGTTGAATGAACTCAGCATCGTTCCCAGCAAGAATAACATTGTCAACATATATTAAAGCAGCAACAAAGCTTACACCTTTGCGATGAATGAACAGTGAATGGTCGGCGCGACTTTGTTTGAACTCGAAAGCCAACAAGGCACGGGAAAACTTCTGATACCAATTTCTGGATGCCTGTCGAAGACCATAGATAGATTTATGAAGATGACAAACCCGAGAGTCACCAGGTGCCACAAAACCTTGTGGAACCCTCATGTAAACTTCTTCCTGAAGATCCCCATGCAAAAACGCATTATTGACATCAAGCTGATGAAGAAACCAGTTTTGACTAACTGCAAGGGCGATCAAACGGCGGACGGTGACTAGCTTGGCGAAAGAAGCATAAGTGTCATGATAGTCGATGCCTTCAACCTGAGTGAAACCTTTGGCAATGAGACAATCTTTATAACGCTCGACTGACCCGTCCGGTTTGAACTTGACCTTGAAGACCCATTTACAGTCGACAATACGCTTGCCATGAGGTGGCATAGCTAACGACCACGTACCATTTGCTTCCAGCGCCGCAATCTCGGCGCACATCGCAGCTTGCCAATGGGGGGTACTTCATTGCCTCCCGGAAAGACGTAGGCTCATACGTGGTGGAGACGTTTGCCACATAGGCCCTGTGTTCCTGAGAAAGTCGATCATAAGTGACATGATTGCCTAATGGATACAAGACAGAACTAGCAGCAGGACGACAATCTGGGAGTTCGCAATCACAATCAGCTAGACGAATTGGCCGACGAACTTGACGTTTGTTAGGACGAGCTGGCTTCGCAATAGTTGTTGCTGGAGTAGAATCGGACAACGTCGGAGGATTCTCAGGCGATGACTGAGTGGATGGACTAGCCGAACTCGCGGGAGAGGACTGTGAAGAAGGACCGCCTAGGGCGACGTGGGTGAACTTTCACTTGGCTCGAGCGGCAAGGAGTCACTTGGGTCGTTGCCCACTTGGAAATTGGGGTCATCAAGAGAGGCCTCTACATCTTGAACCATATTGAAGAGCGCAACATCATAAGGATGCTCATCAAAATCATCATCATGAAGCCACGAGTGAGAACTGTGAAGTGGTTTTGCACTAGGGACAATAGTGATATTTTGGAAGGGAAACACATCCTCCAAAAATAAAACATCACGAGATGTATATATGGTACGACGATCAATGTAGTAGACTCTGTAACCACGTTGTTGGGCAGGATAGCCAACAAAAATGCCGGCTTTTTGCGGGCTGCAAACTTGGAGAGATGTGGAATGGTATCCTTTTCATATACTAGACAACTAAACGTTCAGAGATGCTCGTAGTTGGGAGTACGCCCAAGTAAGACCTCGAATGGGGTTTTGTTGTTGATAGAAGTGAGAGGCATTCTGTTGATGAGATAGGCAGCTGTAAGAACACTCTCTCCCCAGAAGTGAAGAGGTAGTCTTGCCTGAAAACGAAGTGCCCTCGCGGTATTCAACAGATGGCGGTGCTTGCGCTCGATGACACCATTTTGTTGAGGAGTATCTGTGCATGACGTCTGCAGGATAATATCCTCCTTTTCATAATAGTCGCGCAATTCTTGTGTATTGAACTAGCGACCATTATCACTCTGAATGCGCTTAACTTGCCCTCCATATTATATGCGAGCTTGATTGCAAAGGGGAGCAAATACCGAGAAACCTCACTCTTCCGTTTCAACAAAAACAGCCAGACTGTTCAACTAAAATCAGCCACGACAGTGAGAAAATAATGCGCTCCTGAAAATGAAGCTTGATCATAACCACCCCAAATATCAACGTGAATAAGTTCAAAACATGTCGTTGTCTTAATCGAACGGGGAATAAAAGGAAGTCTCGTCTATTTGGCTCGCAAACAAGATAAACATGGTTCCTTACTGTCGACAAAAGTACTAAAAATACGGGGTTGTAAAGCCATTAACTTCGCTGTTGAGGGGTGACCTAGTCTCGAATCCCACAACCGAGAATCCTTCACTGCCTGCTTTGCCGAGAATGCTACTGGATGTCCCTCCACAAAAACCCGTAGGTAGTAAAGCCCATGCTTACCCATCCCAATCATCTCTCTGGAGTTTAAGTCCTGTATCACACGAAAGTTACTAAGAAAAATCACTGCAACAGGGTGATCTGCCGTGAGACGACTAACTGACAAGAGATTGCACTGGAATGCAGGGACATGTAAGACATGACGTAGGGTTAATCCATGCATTAGCTTGGAAACCCATATTCCCTTAACTGGGATTCCCTTTCCATTGGGAATCCGGACCTGTAAAGCTGAGTTGGTATCCAACTCGCCATCAAACAACAAATTATCCTTTGCAATATGCTCGTTACATCCAAAATCTATAACCCATGCAGAGGATAAATCAAAGAAAAGAGTACCTGACATGTTCGCTTTAGGCTGTTGTTGCGCAGGAGCAGCTTCCGCCTTTGGTTCAGAGTTAAGAGAGGCTGTTAGCTGAGCTACTTGCTCCGCAGTTAGTCTCAATATGGAGAGATCCGAGGACTCAACAAACGCCGCTTGAGGCCCGTTCCGGGGATGCCTGGACTGTGGTCGGCGTCGTGGTCGTTCATCCTTCTCACTTGACCTTGGCGGCCACCCAATAATGTCATAACAAGTTCATTTGAGGTGGCCCAATTTTCCGTAGTGAGAACACTTCGGACGTTGATCTTTCGCACGATCATCAAGGGAAAGACGCGCCCCCTGTCCTTGGAATGCTGCAGCCTCAACCTTCGGACTTTGATAATGGGCGATGGTTCGTTGTTGCTCTTCATTAGCAACAACATGATAAGCTTCCCCAAGACATGCAGGAGGCTTCAGAGACCCACGAGAAAGTCCAGCAGCCTCATAGATTCATTTGACTCCCGCGTGGGTTGCTCGACGTTGCAAGTATAGTTACCACACGTACATTTAGCCAGAGGATCAAGCATTAACCAATCATCCCACAATTTCTTGGGTTTAGCATAAAAACTAGACACACTTGACCAATCCTGTCGCAGAGCAGTAATCTGACGACGAATTTTATATCTACGAGGTAGATTACCTATATTGAACCTCTCCAACAACTCGTCCCAGATTTCCTTTGTCGTGAAGCTTTTCATGAGACTGCTTCTAATCTCCTTCGACATGGCTTGACATAGCCATCCAACCACCATCGCGTTACAGCGAACCCATTCCTCTAGACGATCGCTACCTTCGGGCTTCGGGACTTGACCAAGCACAAACCCTAATTTATTTTTCGCAATTAGGGCATTGGACATCTCTGCAGACCACTCTCCATAATTCATGTCCGTGAGTAACTCTCCAACAAACACTTGACTCGGCGCATCGGAAGGATGCAGGAACAGTGGTGACATCGGGCCGATTTCTTCGTATGGAATCAAGGGTTTCTTCCTTTCCTCCTTCGTACCAAATTCACCGGCCATGATCTCAACCTGAGACGAGGTAACGGACGACTAACGAAGCTTTGCAACTAAGGCTTTTCCTGTATCCACTTTCGGGGAAAGCACTTAGGTGGCTAAACTATCGTCCACCTCGATCAATCACATCATGGGACGACCTCCTCAACAAGTTTATGGCTCACTACTGCCCGCCTTCAAAGACGGCGTAGTGGAGAAAGAAGATAATCCATTTTGAGTAAGAAAAGGACGAGACCTTGAGGGATGCTTGGGAGAGGTACTCCGAATATTTTCTTCAGTGCCCTCACCACGAGTTAGAAGAACAGTTTCGGATCGAAACGTTCTACGTAGGCCTAATGCAAGAAGATAGAATTCTCATTGACTCCTTGTGTCAAGGGAAATTGATGAATATGGCTCCACCCCAAATAACCAAGATACTTGTAGACATGGCCCTCAGGGGATACGATAGGGCGTTGACTAGAAGTGGGAGGAGAAGCAATGAAAGGGGAGTGAGAAGCGCGGGAGCGAGTGCTTTGCTTGAGGCGAAGTTGGATAAGTTGATAGGTGTTATGCTTGAAGATAAGAGGCAAGGAAAAAGGCCGGTGATGTCGTGCGACTGGTGCTCGAGCACTAGCCATGAGATGGCGGATTGTCAAGCAATGAAGGAGGCAACCGCCCCAGAGGAACAAGTCAACTTCATGGCAAATGCTAGGGCTAACAACCCGTATGGCAATACTTATAACCCCGGATGAAGGAACCACCTAAATATTGCTTGGGCATCACTTCCAATCTCGTCGGGAAAACTTCATCCAACAAAGGCCCTAACTCCAAGGCTCAAACTTTCAACAAGGAAGTCGCCACTAATGAAGTGATGGAGAAGGAAGATACCAACAAGGAAGAGGCCAACCCGAAGAAGGGAGAGAGGAGGCCCTCGAGGAATGAGAGGAAGGCGGCAAAGAAGGCATCGCCGGTGGGGGAGTACACGCCACCTCTTCCTTATCCCACAAGGATGTACAAGGAGAGGTTGGAGAACGAGTGTAGAGGTTTCATGGAAATGCTACGCAACCTCCGCCTCAACATCCCTTTCCTTGAAGTCATGGCTCAAATGCCAAGAGATGCCAAATACCTCAAGGGATTCCTCGAGAAGAAGCCAAAGCTTGAAAGCCTCGCCAACGTGACTCTTGGCGAGGAGTATTCGGCTTACCTTCTCAACCGCTTGCCCAAAAAGCGGTCCGACCCACACTACAACAAATTCAGCCTATTAGGACAAAAATTTTATTTTGTCATTTTCTGTTTGTCACAATAGGTACATTGATATGACAAAAATAATATATGTCATGGCATTCCTAATGTGAAAAAAAAATTGTTGTCAGAATAAGTCGTCATTTAAAGTGAGTAATGTGACAAATGTTTCGTGTCACAATTAATTTTATCAAAATTGGTGTACCATATCGGGATGTAAGAGACTCAACAGTGACAAATTTCTTGTTGTCGGAATAGTTCGTCATTGAAAGTCAGTAATGTGACAAATATTTTGTGTCACAAATAAGTTTGTCAAAATAGGCATCCCATATCGGGATGTAAGAGACACAAAAGTGACAAATTATATCATCAGAGTAGCTTTTGTCATATTATGTATTCTTGAATTATTTAAATGAGAAAATATTTTTTTCACAATAGATAGCAATAATCTCACGGCGAGATGACAAAAGGGCATGTTCGTCATAATATAGTGGTTTCGGCTTTGACAAAAGACATGTTTGTCATAATATAATGGTTTCGTTTTTGATAAAGTGGCATTGTCGTCAGATTTGCTCATGTTAAACTGAAACCCCGTGACCCTTGATTGTTATATGACACCCTGATTAGCTTCCCGTGATTTTATCTATGGGTGGGAAAGGAAATTCAAATTGCCGCTCTCCATAAAAACTTATGACTATTGAAATTTTTTAAGTGCCCAACAGCCCGCCCTTTAATTTTTGGAATTTGCTTTTATTTTTCTTTCATTCAAAATATAAAAACCACAAACAAGTCAAATTCTCTTCCGACGGTCGCCTCCTAGTCTCCTCCTCCGCCGATAAAACACTCCGTACCTACTCCCTCTCCCCGTCCAACCCTCCTTCCTCCCCACTCACCCACGTCCACGACTTCAACGACCACCAGTAGGGCATCTCCTATGTCGCCATCTCCTCCGACTCCCGCTTCCTTATCTCCGCCTCCGACGATAAAACCCTCCGCCTCTAGGAAGTCACCACGGCTCCATCACCTCACTCACCGGCCACACCAATTACGTCCTCTGTACCATTTTCAATCCTCAGAGCAACGTGATCATTCGACAAAACAGTAAGGATTTGGGACGTCAAGAGTGGCAAGTGCTTGAAGGTCCTCCTTGCCCACTCCAATCTCGTCACCTCCGTCGATTTCAATTGGGACGACTCCCTCGTTGTTTCTAGAAGCTACGATGGGTTGTGCCGGATTTAGGATTCCGGGACCGGGCATCGTATGAAGACTTTGATTGATGATGAGAACTCTCCCGGTTCGTTTGTTAGGTTTTTCGCCCAACTGCAAGTTCGTACTTGTCGGAACCCTTGATAATACTTTGGTGAGTTACTAACCATTTCTTCTGTACCTACTCTTTTAATTTTTTGTCTAGTCATGTCTTATTGGTGCGAATTTTTTGGGAGTCACTGTGTCCTTCATGCGGCTGAAGGGAGAATGTTCTGGTTGTGCTGGTTTATTATACAAGGGCCTCTTGTAATTTTAGATGTGGATATGCAATTGACTTTGGTTATGGTTCTAGGATCATTAAGGCTGCTTCTAACTGGAAGACAGTGAAAAAGCTGGACTTGCTACAAAGCTGTATTGGTGGACTGCCCTTGAATAACTGATTTGATTTCCTTTTCTTGGGTTGTTTATGGATCTAAAAACATAATCTGGACGAATAGCAAACCCTGGTGATATTTGATACCCTTCAGACTAAAGGAAAAGCAGCATTTCAACTGGAATAGTGTGATAGTCCTGCGAAGCTTTTCAAGGATTCGGTAAGGGGTATGAGGCTCTACTTCTAATTGTGATAAGTACTTCAAGGTACAAATGTTCTGTTGTAACATCTGTATGAAGACTCAGTTGTTCTGTCTTTACCCTCCCACGCTAAAAAAGTTGCTCTCAGCATGCATATATATAACAGCCTGGTGTAGTTAAAGTTTCTTTTGGATAGGCAAATGCAAATTGTGTCCATTGTTTACTCGGTATGTATAGTTATGGGGTCATTTTGCTGTCATTCCTACTGTTCCCCTCTTATGCCTTTCAAGGTCCAATCATCCTTATATGTAAGGAACGTTTACTGCAGAACTATGATGGGATTTATTGTAACCCATAATACTCTCCTAACTTTTTTGCACCCGCGGCATATCATGAAAACCACTCACTCAGAGACTAAAGCTTAGCTTAGGAATGCATGAATAGATGCAAAGTGCTCATAGAAATTTATAGGGTTAGGTCCATAGCTTCACAGAAATTAATGACAAGCTCCACTACCTTTTGAAGCATATGAAATTTTCAACTTTATTGTCTGTAGCTTAACTTGCTTCTGGAGCTGATAAACTTAAACATCTAACTCTCTGATTTATTATACAGGTGGTGTATGTGAGCAGCCTGCGTCAGTTTATAAGAGAGCTAGATCATAGCTTTCTAAATTGCATGATACCGTTAGGTTCACGTGATTGTTCTCTCTGCCTCTAAGAAAAATTTGTTTTCTTTCTTGAAGATTTAGCTTTCTAAATTGCATGATATCGTTAGGTTCACGTGATTGTTCTCTCTGCCTCTAAGAAAAATTTGTTTTCTTTCTTGAAGATTTGTTTTTCTCTGTTTGTTCAATTGTGGGCTGAATCATCTGTTTTGTTGTCATAGTTGTGGCAAAAGCAACATTTGTGGGTTTATCAGTGGCTTTAAAAAGAACATGAATGTTGGAACTAGAGGCAGATAAGCTCACTGGTAATTTGGTTTTAGGTAATTGTCAGTAAATACATTTTCCTTAATAGTCTTTTATGGGTTCGATCTTACCATTTCTTTTAGTTGATTAATTTGTTCAATTTCTTAGGTAAAACAGTGGCCAGAGGTTGTTATCAAATGTTGTCTAGCATCTTGATTCATTTTCAAGAGATTCAACCTTTCCTTTGTTATATCTCTCTCCTTCTATTCTTAATTTGCCTATGTCTCTCCCATGTGAGTCTCTTTTCTCCTTTTCACTAGTCCTTTATTTGGTTACATTATCCGAGTTCATCATCCAAGTTAGAGTTATCCTCCTTTGTCACAGCTCAGCCAGCCGGATCAGCACCAAACGAGAGTATGAAAGCATGTGTTTTTGAGAAAGGTTGTGTTGTCTTTTTCCATTTGGGAGTGATCTGCTATTTCTAGGTCATAGTTCCTTTTGGAAAGTTTCGATATGGATTTTACTTTTGGGGAACTATCTTATGTAATGAGTGTTGGCTTTCAGTTGAATCTCATTTAAGCCTTTGCATTTCTGCTAGGGAACTATCATATGTATTGTGTTTCATCCTGCTGAACGAACAATTCTGTCAAAGTAAGCAAATCATGACAAAATTAATGACATAATATGTTGACATAACATCTCTGTTTGTCACATTACATACATTGTTTGACAAACATAGCTCTTGTCATATTAGACATGAGACAAATAAGGCATCTTTCCTGACCAATATATCTGTCATAATATGCAGGTATAACAAAATAATGTCGCCACAATAAACACTTGTGACAAAATGTAGTTGTCACAATATACAGTTATGACAATAGAATCGTGTAATATGACGAATGATTCTCCCAAAATCACTAGATTATGGCAATCGTAATGACAAAATATGTTGTCATAATATATCTGTTTGTCACAATAGACTACCCAGAACATCAGCTATAATAAAAGCAAATGTCACAATCTTATTTTAAAATTTGTCACATTTGATCTATCCTTACGGACATAAAATGACAAACCGTTGTGACAACACGTTTTGTCATATTATACCGAATATGAAAAAATGGGTATCTAATATGAAAAAATTTCCTCGTCATAGTAGGCCAAATTTGTTGTAGTGCCAGGTAGCTTTACTATCCCTCTTGATATTGGCAACCATCATATAGACAATGCCTTGGCGGACCTAGGAGCTAGTGTTAATGTGATGCCCTACAAGCTTTTCAAAAAGTTAGAAGTAGGTGAATTTAAGATCACTAAGCTTAGCATCACCTTAGCCGACCGTTCGATCATTAGCTTGAGACGTATAGTGGATGACATGATGGTGCGAGTGGGCAAGTTTTGCTGTTCGACCGATTTCTAGATTCTCGACATAAGTGAGGACTCAGATATGCCACTCATCCTCGGTCGTCCCTTTCTTGCCACCGCCAAGGCATTGACAGACGTTAATGAGGGGACCTTAATTCTGGGGGATGGTAAGGAGAGAATCAAGCTTGAAATTGACCCTAAGGTTAAGAGGGATGAAATGAAGGGAGTGTTTTCAAATGATGTGGATAAGAGTGGAGGAGAGCCTCTAAAGGCAAACCCCACCATTACTTGTGTTGCTTTTAGTGATGTTGAGCACGTAGTTAAGAAGGGTTCTATGCCCAAGGGATCGAGGATGAATGCTTGGAGGCGAAGGATGAAGGGAGCTTTGGCCCGGAAGATGTGGTAGGCCGAAGAGCCGTTGGCCAATCAAGAGTGCCAACTCAAGGAGCCTAAGATGGGAGGCTACAAGCCTCGCCCCAAGAGTGTGGTGGATCCGCTCTCCGTGGCATCACGTTCAAAGTCGTTATCGATCCCCAATCGTCAAGCTAATGATGCTAAATTAGCGCTTGTTGGGAGGCAACCCAACAGAGGTTTGTTTTCTTTTCCTTATTTTCGTTTTTGTGTCAAGTGAAGAGTTCAAGTGGTCAAATGGTGTCCCCGTGCCAAGTTTTGTGGTTTTACGATTTAAGGTTGTGATGTGATCGATTAGGAGGCACGGTGGAATAGGTTGAGTCAAATTTTTCTCTGAAGTGTCCTGTTTTTTCTGATGTTCACGAACGGATTGCGGAGTTCACGGTCTTACAAGACCGTGAACAGGAAAACGCGTTCGTGAACTGGACGCTTCTGCATGTTCACCACCTGTCGACCAGCCCCAGTTCACGGATGCTAAGACCGTGAACAAGGCAACGCGTCTGTGAACTCCGAGTTGTGCCTATAAAAGGGGCGTGAACGGCGACTCTTCACTTCACGACCAAATCTTGCCGGAAAATTTCAAATCTTCGCCGAAAAAAGCGAAACTCAGTCAGTTTTTCAATTTTCCCCCATTTCCGGCGAGCAAAACCCAAAATAAACATCATACCCATTCTCCCCTCATCAAAACCGGCTTGTGCTTAAATTTTGGGGAGATTTGGGGCAACTTTTGTCCTGTCAAGTCGCCGGCGGCGAGTCTTCGACGAGCTTCTGACGATGCACCGGCGACCCCTCTCCGGTCTGGTTTTTAGTGGTTTTTTGCATTCCTCGCCTGCACCTCACTTCCTCCTACGTCCTACTTGCGTCTCCAGGTTGGTTTTTCAGCTTTACCTTATTAATTTGTGGAGAATCGGATTAGGTAGTGGAGTGAGGATGATTTGTGTGCTTTGAATGTTGAACCTAGATTTAGGGCGAGGAATTAGGTGAATTAGGTCGATTGAATGATGGAATGATTTTTACAAGAGCTTAGTTGAGCCTTGGCGGGCGTGTTTGATCCGAATTGCCTTTATTTTTAGAATTTGCCCACCAAGTGCTATCTTATGAATGCAAGTGGAGTTTATGCTTGTTTGGTGGATGTTAGCCACCGTGGTTTGGATTGTGGTTCAATTTTTTGTGTGCTTGAACCGTGATTTACCCACAACCATGCCACGGTGAGCTTGAGCTTAAATGTTTGATATCCATGGTGGAAAATTAAGTGGGGGGGGGGGGAATCTCTTTTCCTCCCGATGAGCATTATTTGATTATTGTTTCCACGTATGGTGTCTCTTTGTCAATTTGTGCAGGATGCTTAACTTGGAGCACGAGTACATCCGATATTTGGTGCACCACCTGGATTTTGGCGACAATTTTACCTACCAGAGTGGCAGCCCGATTGGGCCTCACTGGCGGCTGGACCTGGACATGTTCAACTTGTTCAGGTGTCGAGCCGGGATGACTGGGGTGCTCTGTCACCCCCAGTGGCGCCAGCTCTTGAAGATGGACGAGGAGATCTACCACGAGCTCTGTGTGGAGTTCTACTCCACTTTCTCCCACATCGTCCCGGCCAGCAAGAAGAGCCAACAGAGAGTGGATTTTATGCTCGGAGGTCAGCCACGAGTGCTGACCTACGATGCCTTTGCTCAGGCCATGGGGCTCGACACCGCCCTCATGATGATGTCGGAGAGGCAGTACACCGTCGACTTCAACTACACGGGAGCATTTTGAGCCATCTGTCGCCTCAAGCATGGCGCGACGAGTTCGAGGGGAGCTGCACCAATGCGGTGAAGCTGAAAACCCAGTGGAGGATCCTCCACACTCTGCTCACCCACTCAGTCGTCCCCAGCCTCCAGTCAGGCCACCTGATGACGAATAGAGGGCTCATTGCCCTCTACTTCATGAGGAGTCATGTAGAGCCGATCCATCTGGGATCGTTGATCACCACTTCTTTCGCTCGGTATCTAGGGCGGAACAAAGTGGACACCATGCACATGCGGGGCATCATTACGAGGATAGCCCGAAACTTCCATGTGGATCTGGCTCGGTGCACCAGCGGCGGGAGGACGACTCCCTGGTTCTAGTGGAGACATTGTACAATCAAAAGCAGGTACTCCAGGGAGAGCGAGGAGTGGAGTACTTTGAGGGACTCCAACCTTCAGGAGTCATCCGAGCAGCAGGTTACCCTATTCCAGTGGAGCCTAACCCCGAGGTCCCGCCACCAGTAGAGCAGCCACCTGCTCGTGTGCCTGGCCGCCACCGGTGTTCAGTGCCCAGCACAGCCCCTACCACCAGCAGGTGAGCCCCTCGTCCAGAGGGTGGATCGCCTATAGACGAACTTCGTGGGATTCTCTTCCCGCCTCGACTAGCAGAGTGATCTGCTCGAGCTGATGGCTCAATGCCAGGGCGTCCTCCCAGATGAGGTCGTGGGTCCTCCCACCAGAGAGAGGTAGCCGACGAGTGAGACATGTGGCAAAGCCGATTTCTTTCGCCCCACTTCTCCACTTGTAACCCTGAACTTGTTGCTTTTGTTAATTTTCTTTCTTTTGTGTGTGTGTGTGACCATAAACTACTACTACTACTACTATCGTATTGTGTTTGTAATAACCCATGGTTCAGGAAACCGTATCGGAAGTCATACCGAACTCGTCTGTGGTAGGGTAATTTGTGGTACAACCATGGTTCAACCGTTGTGTACCGGTAAAATACCGTTTTAGTAATAAAAAATATTTTTTTATTAAAAAACCGTATTGGCAACTCAGAATACTATTTCGGAGTAATACCGGAAGGAAACTGGAATATGTCGGATCACAAACCTAAATAACAAACAGAATTCCAGCCACAAACACCATAACTCAACCTACATATTTCCTTCCCCGGGCAGTAAGTATACAATAACAAATTGACAAATTAATGAATTATACAATAACAGAGCTCCTATTGAATTAACAAATTATACATTAACATTGAATGGAATATCAATCAAGATGATACCCCAATTCTTCCCGTTCTCAATTGGTAGTTAAAACCCATCAAAATCAAGTAATCAAAACTCAAAATCACTAAACGAGGCTTATCATGAACTTCGGTAGACAAATTCAAAATCCCTAGGCGATAACACTAACCTTCTTGAGTTATCTGTTATTAGGGGAGGGAGTTGAATTGGAGAAGACGATTAAGATGTTGTTGAATGGAGTTATGATGTCCTTGGGGATGATGATTCTGATGTTGTTGAGAAGGGCTGAGCTGAACCAGAGAAGACGAAGCCACGAAGGATGGTCGAGACTCGAGACAGGGGATGGAGACTCGATGGCTCCGGCGAACAGAGACGACGAAGGGCGGTTTGGCCAGAGGAGGGAGACTAGGTGGAGTTTCTCGATCTCGTACTCCTCGTGGTCGCAAGAGGCAGGGCTGGCTGGAGCAGACGAACGACGGTCGAGCCAGGGGAAGGAGAGTCGGCGGTGTTCTCGGGCAGCCAAGCTCGCCGTTTTGCTGCCGTCACCGATCGCCAGACTCCAGAATCCAGATGTAGGGGTGAGCTGGAGAAGAGGTGCAGCGGCGGGTTGAGAACTGGAGAGGAGAAGAAAGCTTCTTCGATTCGTGAATCGTGTTAGGGATTAGGGTTGGCTTGCAATTGATTTTGGACAAGATTTTTGTTTTTTGTTTTTAAATTTTTTGTTTAATAAACAACGTCCTTTGAAAACAGGCCACCGCCGGTTGGAAGAAAACCGGGCGGCATTCCGCTTGTGCCGGTTGCACCGCCAAAACCGGCCGACATGGTATTTCTAGCAGCAAATGCCTACCGTTCTGTTATTGGCCCGGTTCTCGGTTGAACCGACCGGTACGATCCGGTTTCCTGGACCATGTAATAACCTCGCCTCGAGCGAGTCGTATTGTGATTGTGTGTGTGTTTTTTGTCTCTCCTTGAAGCTCAAAATATCCTACCCCGGATTAGATTCCAACTTTCACTCACCAAGCCCAAGCGGTAACATCATTCTACCCCTTTTTTACGCCATTGAGGGCAATGACGAGTTTAAGTGTGGGGGGTTAGTTTATTATTATGCTTGTGTGAGTGTGATTGATACTTGGAGCCTTGATATATGCCCAAATTTCAAAAAATTGAGGGCTCCAAGCAATGTTTGCATGATTAAAGTGGCCGATGTGTGGGAAATTCTCGTGTTTATTGGCATTGATCTTGAATTATTGCATGTGATCGAGTATGTCCTATGATGATGACTGAGAGGTTCATTAGGATAGTGCAAAATTTTAGTTCTCATGTGTGCATAAATGAATGGATGTCTTGACTCGATTACTTGTTGATTACAATTGCCATGCATTGTGTTGGTGAATTGGAATAGATGGTTGGGTGACTAGGTAGCCATGTTAGCTTTGAGACGATCGTTTTCTTCTTATGTGCTTAGATATACCTCTTACCATGGCAAGTAACATCACAGTTGTCACTAGTGAGTATGATGGAGGCATAGGATTACTCCACGCCCAAATGTTGATTGTCCCGAATTGTGACATCCCTTAGTCAACCCCCTTTGAGCCTTGTGACTTCGAGGGTCGTTCTTAAGTTAGGAGCTTCTTACTTGTGAGCTTAATGGTGTTAATAGAGCGACCCCCAATCCTTTCTTCGTGTCTAAACATGAGTCGTCCTTGTGTTCCGGTGATGCAACCCCGCTCACCCCACATACGACCCGCTCAAATTAGATCTTCACATGGACCATGGGCCAAAAGACGAATTAAGAGGTTCAAAGATACCTTGGGAGCATTTAAGATGGGTGAAAATGCCTCTGCAAGCAAGGCCTACGAGTTTGTTGATGTGAAATCGATTGGCAGAACATATAATTCTCGTGGTCCAAAGATGAAGGCTCAAATACAACGATACAAGGATCAAATGGGATCATTCTTGATGGTTATTGAATTGCATCGAGGAAATCTCATCACATGCTTCAATTCGTGGATCCAAATCACGATAAGATGGGCTTGGAGAAAGGAGTGAAGATTCGACCCAAAAGGAAGGAATTCCTTCATGGTGTGAACAAAATGTGTGAAAGGAATACAAGTGTGAAAGGAATATCAGGTGTGAACACAAGCCATGTGAGGAAGGATTTTAGGGTTAGAATTAAGGGTTGAAGAAGTCAAATTTTTTTACCTGTTAGTTAAGAATTTTAGCTTTCTTTCTTAGTTTTGGATTTGATTTTCGTTTCCTATATGAGGAGGACGAATTATATGTATTTTTCATCAACTTTTGTAATCAAACAACTTTCAAGTTTCGAGTTCACACGAACTAGTTTCTTTGTGCAAGCTTCTGTCGAGAGTCTCCAAAAGTTTCACGTGTCTTATCAACTAGAGAACGCGTCTAGTGGTGGCGAGCATCTACCAAATAACGATTGGTCTCATTCACAAGTTGGAGATTGTTTGATTGGTTCATACACCAATTGGCATTTCTCACGAAGGAATCCGTTCGATTTTGTTTCATCTTTATCTTTTGTTCGAGTTTTTTTTTAGTTTGAGAAAAGCTTCAAAAATCCCATAAAAAGAAGGAAAGATGTGTACTTTGGTTAAATCACACAGAGCTCTCGCTTTTGAGTTCCACAGAGCTTTTACATAGGAGGTTTGTGTGTGGTTCTTGCTAGGAATGAAAAGTTAAGTGTAGTGTTGGAGTGAGTTCTTCAAAAAGAGAGCATTGGTCGTTAATTGCATTGGTGGCAAGTGTTTTTACTCTCTAGTACCCCCCTCAAAAAAGAAAAAAAAATAAAGAAAAGAAAAGAGGAAATAAAATGGGGTAAATAAAGTAGAGAGTGCAACGAAAAACCAAAGTACATGCTCTAGGAGGGGTTTCTCGGCACCCAAACCATTGAAACCCCCACATTGTTTTAGAACTCCTTCACTACCAAACCTTAATGTGCTAGCAAGAATAGACCAAGGAAGAGTGCTTCAATGTAGTTCACTATGGGAGATAGTTTGGAAGGGAGATATAAAGTTTTTGGCCGATGCTAGTGGTCTTTGGTTCAAGAGAAGGGTTTTAGTCGAAACCATAGAACCTTTGGGTTTAGGTTGAAGATGTAGAACCTCATGTCATGATTGCCGCCACCCAAAAAGCCTTTCTCCCATGTCCAAGACAATTGCCAGTCATCTAAACCCGCGTCTAAGACCTTCGGACAAGCTAGTGGTGACAACCATCCCGTGAACTCTAGCATTTAGAGGTTACCGCCGTGGTATTGAGACGATAGGGCCGAGTGTCTATGATTGTGCACATCTTTTGCACCAAAAGGTCCCGACCCCACTGGTCTTGAGAGTGAGTGATTCATTCTTGTTTTGCATGCCATATCATACCCCGGTGAGGACCTTTGTTGCCTTTCCATTTGTTCCTCAAACTTGAATTCTATGCATGGTTGGTTGTTGTTGTTAAGTGGTCTTGTTGAGACTTGCATTGATCCATGAACAAGGTGAGAACTTTTCGTTTGCCCACTTTTGGTGGCCTCGAATGTCGTTTGTGGTGGATGTCGGTATTGCTTGCAACAGTCCATGTATTGATTGCCAATAGCCATAGAGAATTCCTACTTTGTTCCCTTTGAGTTGTCCCCAAAGTATTTGTGTAGGTTGAAATATTACCTTGTGTGAAATGGTTTGCTTGGGGCAAGCAAACGTCTAAGCGTGGGGGAGTGATTCGAGCCTAAATGTACATGTTTTACCCTCATTTTCTTAGGCGTTTGTGGCAATTTCGCTCCGAAAAGGGTGGTTTTAAGCTAGGTTTCTCGTGTTTTAGTGTGTTTTAGGATTTGACAGGAGAAACCAGCCCCAGGGTCAAAAGTTGGACGAAAAGGAGCGAAAACTGGAGAAACGGTGAAAAATGGCGAGTTCACGGTTTTCCTATGATGTTCACGGTCTTGAATGACCGTGAAGAAAAGCTGTTGGCCATGAACATTGAGGCTTCCAGGGCCAAAATGCAAGTTACTGACGCTAATTCAGTTCACGGTCGCTAAGATCGTGAACAAGAGTTGTTGGCTGTGAACCTGTGGAAGTAAAGCGGTGCGTTTCGGAGCCCATCTGGAGTTCACGGACGCGTTTCAAAGTTCACGATCGTTAACTCGGACAATGAAATGAGCTCATTCACTGTTTAAAAGCTTAGTTGAAAGGAAGAAAATGGAAAGAGCCCATTGTGTGAAAAAGCCTTCTTTAGATTTCTAGAGAGAGAAACACAAACCAAAAGAGAAGGAGGCTAGGGTTTTGCTCCAAGGTGGGATTTGGGAAGATTCTCCTCAAGAGAAGCTCAGCACAAGGGTCTAGAAGATTCGAAGCCTCCCTCAAGATGGTTTCTACCACTTCTCCTTGTGTTTCTCGCATTTCTAGCGTGAAGTAGATTTCTTTTCACTTGGATGTTGTGAAACCCTAACTAGCTACCATGTAGTTTCTTCTATGTGAATTGAATGATTGTCATTGAGTATTGTTTAATTCAATGATTGAGGTATGATTCATGTGATTGTGCATGCTTGTGCTTAGCAATTTAAGGATTGTGCATGTTTTGTGCTTAACATCCTTAGGTTTGTGCATGTTGGTGCTTAAAAACCTAAGGATTGTGCATAATGGTGCTTAGCATCTTTAGGTTTGTGCATGTTGGTGTTTAGCAATCTAATTAGCCACTTTAACCTAGATTAGAGAGGAAAATCCCCCTTCCAAGGGAGACTCAATCGAGTTGGTTTTCCTTTAGCTTTTCAAGCCACCTAATTTAAGTTAATTTAGGACAAACCTCAATGTTGAATTAGCAAATTGGTTAAGCGCAATTAAGCCATCGAACCCTTGAGTTGAGTGAGGGAGTAAGTCAACCACCAATTTCCTAAACCGAGAGGGCCGAGTGACACGGCCTGTAATGTATACCTCGGTTTAGCAATCGAGAATGTGATCTACGACCATATTTGCATCCCTCAGCGGTTCGCGGTTACCTTGCCCATTGCAATCGTTTCAATTCACATACCATGGTAGTAGTTAGGGGGAAGGGACACCCGTGTGATCCTTCTCGCAAAGAGCTTTCAAAACCATTTACCTTTACCTTAGTTTATTTTAATTAGCAAACTTTTCAGCAAAAACTTTGTTGCTAGATAATGATTCAAATGACTGAAGTAGGGGTACACGGATCGGGCCAGGTTTATATTTAAACATACTTATCATGTACTGCACCCAAGTAAGGTTTATACTTGGACCTTAGGCGGGAAGTTATTGTGGTATTAGGGACGAGTTAGCAGCCAATCCAGTATTTTATGAGCGGATGAAGCATGTGGAAATGGATTGTTACTTTGTCCGCGAGCGGGTTGCTTCTGCAAGATTGCTCCACGCAAGATCGGGACACATTTGCAGTTTGCTGACGTTTTCACTAAAGCTTTGGGTACAAATCAGTTTCATTTGCTCTTATCCATGCTAGCATTTGTGACTTGCATGCTCCAGCTTGAGGGGGAGTATTGGAGGGACTCATTTGTAATCATTAGTTTTAGTTGTTGCTCTTTTGTACTTTGCCTTATACCCGTAGCTTACGTAGAAGGGTATAAGTGCTGGCTTACTCGGCTGCCCTAGCCGACTTAGAGAAGTCTTGTTTAGTTTGTATCTCGTCAAGAACACTCATAGTGAAAACCAAAAACCGAGAGCTCTACTCTCCATGGATTAGTCTTGTTCATGTTGAACGAGGATACCACGTAAACATCGTGTCTCATTTACTTTTCGCATTCACCAAAGTTATTGACATCTATAAGAGAAAGACAGAAAGTGCATAAATATTTCATGATTCGGCTCTAGATTTTAGAGCTTAATGTAATACCAATCAAGCATACACTTTCCTACAGGGTGACAAGTTTTGATAACAACAACTTTAGGACTTGGACGAGTAGTACAGGTACTCGTAATACCCAAACGGGTAACCCGTGGGTACCAATTGTAGAACTTTTTGATCTCAAGTCTCATCCCATAAAAAAATTACGGGTATTTAGGTATCCATAACCCTAAAAAAAGGACGGGTATGGGTATACCCAGATACCTGTTTTCCATCTCCCACCCCTACTCCTACTAATAAAAGGGAGCGGATATGGTGACAACACCATATTTGTTATTGTAACAACACTAGTCTCCAACCAATAGGAAGCTAGAGTTGTGATGACTTTTTATTAGCTTAGTTGACCTAGTGTAAAATCAAAGCAGGGGTATAATTGTCATTATGAAAATTATGTTTAAATAATAATAAAATATTTTTTATTTTCTGTTCAAAACTTTGGTCGCCGGAATTCGACCATCGGTCATCAGAATCTGGTCGCCGGTCACCGAAATACGCTTTTTGTCGCAGGAATATGCTATTTCGACATCGAAATATGCTTACTTGCGTCGAAATATGCTTACCGGCGTGGAAATCTAGTCATCGTGGCCGGAATATGCCTATCGACGCCTAAATCTACTCACTGACGGTCATCGGAGTTTGGTCAACGATTTTCGTTGACCTGTCAACTGTCAACGACCACCGGATATAATGGTTTGCATTGTGAGATTGATGGTTTGGTTTCTCGTGCTTTTTTATGCTATTTTTGGTTTACTTTATCGTGTTACTGGTTTGCATTATGAAGTTTCTGGTGTGCATTAAAAAATTTTGTGGTTTGCTTTGTGGGGTTTCTGGTTTGCTTTACGGCGTTTGTGGTTTGCATCAGGACGTTTCTGGTTTGTTTTTGTGGTTTGCTTTACCGTGTTTGTTGTTTGTATTATGAGGTTTCTGGTGTGCTTTCGCAAATGTTGTGGTTTGCTTTGTGAGGTTTTTGGTTTGTTTTAGGAGATTTGCGGTATGCATTAGGAGGTTTTTGGTTTGCATTAAGAAGTTTATGGTGTGCTTTCGAAACTTTTGTGGTTTGCTTTGCAGGCTTTCTGGTTTGTTTTATCGTGTGTGTGGTTTCTATTAGGAGGTTTCTGGCGTGATTTAGAAATATTTGTGGTTTGTTTTCTTACATTTCTGGTATGTTTTACGAGACTTGTGCTTTGCATTTGAAGGTTTCTGATATGCATTTTTGGTTTGCTTTACCATGTTTGTGGTTTATATTAGGAAGTTTTTGGTGTACTTAAATATTAATTAGAAAACAAAATGAAACAAATAGGACCGATCATTGTTGTAAAAAAATCAATGAAATCACTCCAAGAGGATATCTTGATTGAATTGGAGAATTGGAGAATGGAAATCACACCCCATTTCCTCGTTTTAGATCGATGGATGTGGGTGATTAGTTTGGGTAAGCAAAGGGAAGCAGAAGGAGCAGCAGCAACAAATTCAAGATGGGTGAGCTGATGAAAACGTGGTTAGCAATGGAAAATCACACCCCATTTCATCGCCGCTCGCCTCCGTCGGCAACGCTCCCCTCATCGTCCGCCACGGCCGTACTCTTGCCCGGAATCTCCGCATGTCAGTCATCGACATCACCTTTACAACCTTCCACCGCGATTTCCCGATGCCGGTCACGTATTCGACGCCCGACTACATTCCCCCTGTATCCTCGGCTACTGCCTGCTCTACATCAAGTTCACCGTCAATTTCATACTTTGGATCAAGTTCAACGGCCTATTCTACGATCCCTGTCGGATTCCGCTCAGCGGCCTAGTCCGTGAAGTCAGAGCCTCTCGCTCTGCACCTTGCAAGCTCCTTCCGCCGTCGGCTTGGATCTGCAGCAGCAGCCGAAGATCTCCCCGCCAGTTTCCGTACCGTAACAGCCTCATCACCAAACACTCTGTTCCACCCATTTTCGTCGATCGAGTCTCTATTCCCCTCGCCGGCACAATCATCGTCGATTCCGAAACCTCAGCAGATCTGATGATGATAGCGCCTTTGAAATCGATGGATTGTCGTCGTCGTTGACGCCGGAAGGAGGATAAATGACTTGGATGGAGTGGATTGAGGGATGGCGGAGGAGGATTGCTTGCTCGAACTTTCGGATCGGCAGCAGCGTCGATGAAGTCACAATGGTGAGGGATGGAAGAAAGTCAGATGCGAGTGGGAAGGAACGGAGGAGAAGAAGGGTTTCAGATAATTAATGTAAATTTAATTTGTTATTTATTGTTAGTTTACATTTTTTCCCCTTAATGAATCATGTTGTTATTATAAGAACACAAAGGGTGTTGTTATTCTATCCGCACCCTTAATAAAAGGGATGACGAAAAGGTTTAACGCAAATACTTCACCGGTCAACATACTATTTAATCATGTTATTGAACTAGTGTGGGTTTAAAAGACTAAGAATATATAATGCATGTTGTGAAACGAATCATGCAACAAATTAGGCAACTATGCTCAAGCTTTCACTTTATCAGCTAGTATTATCATTAACTTTGGTACTAGACATAAACTAATGTTCTTAAGCTTTCTATTATTCTATATGAGTATTGATCAATAATGTAGGTTAAACCACATTGGAATAAAATGCTGAGACCAACTTGATATGATCCCAAATGGTCAATTATACACGTTTAATTTACTTGACGAAGAAGCTATCAAAGTTGGAAAGAAGAAGGGCAGAATTTGGTTAAGTGTTGGGACAGTTTCGAGATACCTACTTTGGAGGCATGGTTCTCACAATTGGCTCACTGAAAATTGGAGTTCAAGGGCTTGTTTTAAGATAAAGTTGCCATCTTTCCAATGGTATGCTTTTTGGATCAAGAAGAAGTCATTAAGATTGTTTTCCAAGACCTCAAAGTTGCTACCTTAAAACTGGAAAACTGCCAGAAAATGGTTACGCCTGGAAACTGTTTTGTGAAGCCTACTTTGGAGCTTTATTCGAATAGCATGGAGCTGATTCAAGTCCAAAGGCTTCCACAACATGAAACTAGATATGTTTATCTACCAAGGGAAGGAATCAGATCAAAGATTAGAGTTCTAGAAGGCCTCGAACGAAAGGCGTGACCTTAGTACGAAAGCTGCTTTTGGACTGTTTGCTGGCAGCTTACTTGTGCATCAAGAAAGGAAGTTTAAACCCGAATTTTGAGTTCTTTTTAGAGTAGATTTTTACCTTAGGTTTATTTTCCTTTAAATACCTTTCTAGTTTTCGTTGTGAAGCAGAGAAGATTATTATTGAATGAAAATTGATCCTACGTGAGTGTTTTGAGTTCTTGAGTGTGTCTCGAGAATTTACCTATTACCTTTATCTTCGAGTGGATTCCGTAGCTAATTTCGAGACCCTTGTTCAAGCTATTCAGTGGAGGATTCCAGAAGCGTTTAGCAAGTTATCTTATCAATTGAGTAATCACCTAGATTGTGGCAAGAATTCTACCTTTCCATCATTATCGTTCGATTGTTTGTGTTAGCTGCGTATTCTGATCAAAAGCACCCCTGGTGCTTTAATACAACTATATCAAGAAAATAAGTTTAGGTACTGCCTTCCAACTTTTTTTCTGAATTGCTATTCGTCGCTCTAGAATTCAAATTTTATAGCCCTAAAATGCACTAAATTGACATATTTACCCCTCAATAAAATTTCTATTATAATATCCATAAACCAAAAAATTGCCCAAAAGCTAATATGTAGCAGGCCAGATCTCGGCGGAACACGCCGGACGAGGGTGGGTACGAGGATGGGAGATCGCGAAGGAGTGAGGGGTTGTGGCGTTGACTTGGTTTTGGAGACCGAGAGAGACGAAGGCGACATGGATGGAATTGAGGGTTGGGATGAGGTGTTGGATGTAGGATTCGTCGGTCATGGTGAGTACTTCGTTTACCGACGGTGATGCAACAATTTCATCATCTATTTTGGGAGAAGCTGCTTCTATTCCACAGAAAACAGGAAACCAATCAACGACAATGTAAAATGAGAGAAGAAGAAAGAACAGACGGAGAGCAGAGAGAGACCTAAGGTAGTAAGGGAACTCGGAAAACGTGACACCACTTTCTCTCCCATGAATCACTTGTCTCAACAGTTCATGCTCCAACTTATCTCAAGTCACGGCGTTCGCCGCGGAAGCGTTCCCGCCGGCGAGGCCAAACCTAGCCCTAGACCAACGCCCACGCCGACGCTCAATGTTGACGTTAGAAACTGCTTTTGTTCCATAGCAATCGAATCGTCACGAGTCGACTACCGTTTCATTAACAATTTTAACACAGACAATAGAAACTGCTTCTTTTCCATACCAAACATGCTTGTAAAAAAACCTACAAATAAATAAACTAATGACATTAAAGTAAAATCAACATAATTAGGGCGACGAATAAGAAATTTTAGGGCGACAAATAGGGATAAAATACCTCGGGTACCGCTTAAGTTAGAATAGGACGCTAGCTACCATTAAAGTTGTCAAAAGTTGTATCCGTCTAGTTTTCCATCCAACCCAAAACTTTAATTACCTTTTGGTACCCAAAACTTTCAAAACATCCAAAACTATATTTCAACAAGTATTATCTAATATTAAACATACAAACCTTCTAAACCTAGTATATTGAAATGTTTTCAACAAAATAGATAAGTTAATAAAAATAATAAACAAATATCAAGAAGAAATAATAAATATACTAAAAAATAATAATAAATATATAAAATGAATATTAGAATATCTATTTAAACCCCTAGCTAATACAATTAGAAGCACCACTAAAAACAGTTCAAATAGAACCTAATCGACCATCAATATATTAAGACAAAAGCAGATCTATGTAAACTATAAAAGCTACCAGATTCAGTAATAAATTTAGAAAAGAAAATATCGAGACAAATTCAAAGAATATATTTTCTTAAGGGAATAATTCAATTATTAGAACACATAATGATAATTTAAAATACTAATAATGATAATTTATTCTAAATTTCTTATTCAAAAATTGTTTTGGTATAAAACAGAGTTTTCAAAAGAGTATTCCAACTAAAAAAATAAAAAAATGATGCTTTTTATGAGTACAAATAATTTTTACAATAAAAAAAGTAGAAAGACCGATTCTAAAATTTAGAAAATGAATTATTCCAAGAATATTCTGTCAACTTTAACGAAATGCACTTAATAGTATACTTAAGTGGTACCGGGTGCATATATAATAGAGTTTAGTGGCACAAGGTTGTCAACCCTCGGGCTGACCTGGACCTGGTCGAACTAGTGGGTCAAGGGTTAATGGGTCACCCGGTTTAGTCCGGAAATATGAAAAGAGTAATAATATTATACTTATACTGGTAAATTATCAAATCTCATCTAACATATGAGTTATAACATATAATATTCCACCAAAATAACATGTAGTACTTAGATCTAACATATAGTGAAAATTCACACACTTATATAACATCAATATTCAAATGTTCAGTTTAGGATTCCAAAGATTGAGTTAGGCGAAAAGAAAAATAGAAAAATAGGCGCATTCCGCAAATCAAAGAAAAAAATGACACAATTTGACCTCCAATGCGATACCTTGTAGCGATCGAACCGACGGGTGCGTGCGACCCGATTTTCTCATCGGGTCAGGGTCAAAGTGGGTCAACCCGCTGGTCAATCCGCAAGTTGACAACCTACTAGCACATAATATCCTATTTTTACTTAAGCGATATAGCTCTCTCAATTTTCATAGTTTAGTAAGATGCGAGGTCTTTTACCCGTGGAAATAACAATCGGGAAGAAAAATTATAAGGTTAAAGTAACCTTTTGGAAAAGAAACGAATAAAACAGCAAGAATATTCGATATCCCGATAACAAAGAATATTGCTCCACCATTTATGTTCGGATGCTCTGGTTTTTTTTCTTCCCCTTATCTTCAGATACTTCGATACCAAAATAATCGATTTGATTGTAGTGGAGCAGAATTCCCGAGTTGAGCGATCCAAACGACGAAGAGAGAAAGAAACTGACCGGCGGCGGGATTCGACGGCGATTAGGCGCGCGACGGTTGTTGGTTCATCATGAAGTTCTGGAAGAGTCTCAGCATATTGATCGAGGATACGCTGCCCGAATGGAGGGACAAATTCTTGTCTTACAAGGACTTGAAGAAGCAACTGAAGCTGATTTACCCTATGGACGGAGATAAGCCGCCCAGCAAGCGGTTGAAATCGGAGAACCACGCCGCCGACGGCTTGGATTGTAGCGGAGGCGGAGGAGATGTGACGAAAGAAGTGATCGATTTCGTGAGGATCTTGGAGGATGAGATGGAGAAGCTGAATTCGTTCATCGTTGAGAAGGAAGAAGACTCTGTTATCAAGTGGAAGGTAGGCGTTTTTGTTTTCTCCCCGTTTCTTTGATGATTTGTTGCAGAAAATTGTAGCAATTGTCTAATTCAATCGTGTCTTTTAGGGTTTCGAAAAGTCTTGTGCTATTCTGAAGGGTAGGCTATTCGGATATTGAGAAATCGATGGGAAATCTTATACTTCGGGGGGTTCGATTATTTGTTTGACGAGTGAAAATTCGCCAGATTTTACCATGATCAGGAGAGAACAAATTTTCAGGAACTGGTGATACTATTATGTGCAAACTACTGTAAAATTTCAGAACCTTTTTCTGGTATATCGTGTTTGCAAGCTGGGTTCTTGAATTTATGTAGTTGACCTTTTGGTGTTTTGGTTGCAGGAGTTGCAAGATAGGGCTGCAGAGGCCAATGGCTCAAAAGATGAGCTGATGAGAGTAGGCAGAGAGATAGTAGATCTACACGGCGAGATGATTCTACTGGAGAATTACAGTGCCCTTAATTACACTGGTATTCCTCTCTCTTATTTGTACCTGACCATGTTCTCGGAACAATTGAATCCCTAGTTTCTTAACTGAGTTATTGTAAGTCATAGATTGGAGGAGAAGCTAAGCTACCCTTCTCTACCGTCTTTCTACACCTTGTTTTGGGTGTTAGCAACAAGAAAAAGCACCTGTATCGCCACAGCCATGAAATGGGATTTTCTTGATTTCTCTCTTTTGTCATCTGTGTGCTAAACAAATAGAAACCTCCAGCTCTGTGGAAGGATTAGACCAGTCATGCCATTTCAATGGCCACTGGTATTTGACTTGATGGATATATTTTTCTTGTTCTGATGATTTTGGAGTACATGTTTGGCACTTTGCAAATGCCACCACTAGGAATTAGAGAAGAGACGTCTGGCCAATGCCTACTTTGGTAAACTGAATGTAGCAAGAGTGAACAGACAAATGTTAAACTTTGTTGTTTGATGATTCTGAAGTACTGCTATAACATGCTGTCCGGAGCTATGTTGATCTTTGTGATTCTCTATATTCTTCGGCTTTAGGATTGGTGAAGATTCTGAAGAAGTACGACAAGAGAAGCGGCGCTCTACTTCGAGTCCCTTTCATTCGAACGGTCATGCAACAGCCTTTCTTCACGACTCAAGTGCTTAACATGCTTGTGAAGGAATGCGAGGCAACACTCGAAAACCTCTTCCCCAGGAATGAACCACCGCCATCATTGGTAGCCCCACCGGAACCCTCGGGTGGGGAAGCTATAATGACCACCACGGAGGAGAGGTCGTTTAGGGTGCCGAATGAGCTGAACGAGATTGAGAATATGGAGAGCATGTACATGAAGCAGACATTGTCTGCTTTGCGTGTGTTGAAAGAGATCCGAAGTGGGAGCTCGACGGTGAACATGTTCTCGTTGCCACCCATGCAGAGCCATGCCGCTCTGGAGGAAGACTGGAAGAAGGTCTCCGTGTTGGAACAAGCTGCGAAGTAGGAGGATTACACTGTAATAATTAATTTGCATTGCAGAAGTTTGGAAGCATTTCTGGTTCTCTAGACGTTTTGGCTTTTACCTAACCTGCTGTGTATATTGTTTTGCTTTCTCCCGGAGCTTGTGGAATTTTAACCGTTTCTATACTACAGTCTACAGAAAGTTGAATCAATGTATTACATTTTGATCGGTGCGTGGGGTTAAAATGGCCTTACTACAGTTTAAGGTAATAACCATTGGGATGAGATACTAAACTTGTGAGAAAATCGTAGGAAACATTACTCTGGTTTTGATCAACTATGTATGTACACTTGTATGGTGGAATGTCCAGACAACATAGTTACAAGAAAAAATCAACAGCAAGTCAATAACGACGAAGCGCCTGTAGCTCAGTGGATAGAGCGTCTGTTTCCTAAGCAGAAGGTCGTAGGTTCAACCCCTATCTTGCGTGTTTTAATTTCTAACCTTTTTTGTTTTTACTTGTTATTTTCCTATCCTACTAGCTTTCTTCAAGTATGCATGAGCTTTTGGCTCCCCACAACTAAACTGCATCTGTTTAGCTCTTAGCAATATATATTTTACATGCAGTACTCTTTACATGATCAACCTAAACACATATATCAAATAACAACCTAGACACAACTTCAACAACCAACCATCTTTTGTTTTGTTTTGTTTTGTTTCGACCACATATATATATCCCCACACAACTCTCTCTTCCTAGGTCCATCTAAAACTTGGAGACCTTAATTAATTATTTAGCACTTTATATCTCTTCCACATTTGACTATGTCCATAGTTTCAGAAGCACCTGGCTACTTGCAGTTGTTCTCCGATGGCTCGATCAAACGCTTGCATCCAGAATCAGTCCCTCGTTCCTCGGAAGAATCACTATCGCCAAATGGGTTCAAGTTCAAGGATGTTACCATCGACCCATCAAAGCCAATAAGTGCTCGGATGTTCATTCCGGTTGATCAAGGATTGAAGCTTAAACTTCCTGTTCTGGTCTATTTCCATGGTGGTGGTTTTTGCATTGGCTCGACCACGTGGTTGGGCTACCACTATTTCCTTGGAGACTTGTGTGTCAAATCCCAATGCATCATCCTCTCTGTGGACTACCGTCTTGCACCAGAGAACCGCCTGCCAATAGCTTATGAGGATTGCTACAGCTCACTCGAATGGCTTGACCGACAAGTGGCCTCTGAGTCTGAACCTTGGCTTCGAGCAGCTGACCTCTCGCTAGTCTTTCTATCTGGAGATAGTGCTGGAGCTAACATCACCCACCAAGTTGCCATTAAAGCATCCAGGAACAAAGATCACCGTGTTAGTGTAAAAGGGTTGTTGATGATACATCCTTATTTTGGAAGTGAGAAGAGAACTGCAAAGGAAAATTCTGATGGTGCTGTTGAGGATGTGAAGATGAATGACATGTTCTGGGGACTAAGCATACCTGAAGGGGTAACCCGTGATTACTACGGCTGCAACTTTGAGAAGCAACTAGATGTGTCTGCTTCTGAGTGGAGTGCATTCCCAGCTGTGACTGTGTATGTGGCTGGCCTGGATTTCTTGAAGGAGAGGGGAGTGATGTATGCAGAATTCTTGGCTAAGAAAGGAGTTAAGGAGGTGGCGCTCGTGGAAGCCGAGAATCAGCCACACATCTACCATGTGTTTGATCCTGAATCTGATGCAACTCGGTTGCTTCAGAGTCAAATGTGCAAGTTCATAGAGAGTCATTAAGCATTTTCAGATTGGATGTTGCAGTAAGAAGACAACATACACAATACAAGAATAAAACTAATAGAGATGTAATAAACATGCATTGCCAATAGGGTCCGGATAGTATAACAACATCTTAAGTGTTGTTATACTAACAACAGGATTTATTAAAGGTATAAGGGTAAATATACTCATATATCTAACAAGATAAAAATTAAATTAAGATATCCTAATTTCTATCACTCTCGATTTTCTCCTCACGCCCGCGCATTCTTGATTCCTCCTCCCCAACAGCGGAGGGCTTCTCCGGCTGCGGTGCTGCGAGTTGGCGATCCCAGAATCGCCTTCAACCATCTGCTGCTTCGCCTGCTGCTACGACGACCACTACTACGCGGGAAGTGACAGCACAGGAGTCTGCAACCAATCTCAGTTGGCTGGACTGGAAGGGAAAGCGCATGCGAAGTTCATCGCGCTTGCGAAGTTCAATCGCGCCGAAAAATCAGTTGGCTCCTCGCGCTTGCGAAGTTCGTCGCACACCTCATGAACCAGCGGGTCGCGCACCACACACTCGCACTCGAGCTGCTCCACCGCCTGCTCGAAAACCCTAGCGACGACGGCGTCGAGCTCGCGGTCGCCTTCCTGACGGAATGCGGAGCGCTCCTTCACGACCTCTCGCCGAGAGGACTGGCCGCGTGTTTCGATCGATTGCGCGACGTCCTGCACGAGGGGGAGATCGACAAGCGAGTGCAGTTTCTGATCGAAGGCATGTTCGCAATTCGAAAGGCAAATTTCAGAGGTTACCGGCGGTTTACGACGGGGGTCATCATCTACAGCGAATTGTGCTCTTTAAAATCCTTTATTTGCAATTACTTTTGGTGATAAGTTTCTCTGAATCATTGATTGAAGGATCGACATCCAGAAATGGAATGCCCTCACCTAAGGGGAGAAGGCAAGGACGGTAAGAGAGAGAGTTGGCAATTGGGATGGGGGGTTTGGTGGAGGTGGTGGGAGGAAAGGGTGCAGTGGCGGTGGGATGGGTCGATGCAATGGGAGGGCTACGAGTTAGAGTTTTGGCCAACGGTGGCGGAATTTGGAGAGTGAAAGTTAAGGGATGGTGGCGGCTTCTTCTTCTACGCCATCGTCTGTTCTTCCAGCTGGAGAGTACGAGGTTTTCTTGAGCTTCAGGGGTCTCGACATTCGGAATAGAATAATCTTTTCAAGTGATCTAAGATTATTCTAGTGACGATTCAGGAAGCTAAATTCTTTCCTGAAATTCGCTAAAACATATCAAAAATCCCACAAAGCAAACCATAAATATTTTGAAAAGCACATCAAAAACCCTCTAATGCAAACCACAAACACGGTAAACCAAACAAAAAACGTACTAATGCATACCACAAATATATAAAAACAAACCCAAAACCTCGCAAAGCAAACCACAAAAGTTTCGAAAGCACACCAGAAACTTCTTAATGCAAACCAAAAAACTCCGAATGCATACCACAAATCTCCTAAAACAAACCAGAAACCTCACAATGCAAACCACAAAATTTTCGAAAGCAAACCAGAAACTTCTTAATGCAAACTAGAAACCTTCTAATTCAGACCACAAATCCCCTAAAACAAACCAGAAACCCCACAATGCAAACCATAACATTTGCGAAAGCACACCAGAAACCTCATAATGCAAACCACCAACACAGTAAATCAAACCCCAAAAAAGCAAACCATAAACGTCCTAATGCAAACCACAAATATATTAAAACAAACCAGAAACCTCACAATGCAAACCACAAAGTTTTTGAAAGCAAACCAGAAACTTCTCAATGCAAACCACAAACACAATAAAGCAAACCATAAAAGACATAAAAAAATATGAGAAACCAAACCATAAATCTCACAATGCTAACCATAACATCCGGTGATCGTTGACCGTTGACCTGTCAACGAAGTTCGTTGACCGAACTTCGGTGACCGTCAGTGAGCAGATTCCGACGCTGATAGGCATATTCCGGCCCCGATGACTAGATTGCGACGCCGGTAAGCATATTCCGACGACAAAAAGCATATTCCGGTGACCGGCGACCATTTTCCGGCCACCGGTGACAGGATTCCGACGACCAAATTTTTGGGCAGAAAATAAAAAAATATTTATTTTTATTTTTATTTTTTTATTTAAATAGATTTTTCATAATGACAATTATACCCCTGCTTTGATTTTACACTAGGTCAACTCATCTAATAAAAAGTCATCACAACCCTAGCTTCCTATTGGTTGGAGACTAATGTTGTTACAATAACAACACAAGGAGTGTTGTTACCGTAACTGGTCCCATTGCCAATATCCTTCCATTACCCTCAACTTTGTAGAGAGATATGGTGTCAGTTCAGGTCGGGTTCTGTTACCCAAACCGAAACCTGAAAAACCCAAAAATCCGAAACCGAAAATCACTAAAACCGTACCCTAACCCGATAAGGACTTGCGGGTTCCGGTTACCCGAAACCCGAAAATTCCTTATCGGGTTCGGTTAAAGCAAAACCGAAACCCGAACGCCTAAAAATACGGGTTGAGTTCTATTCATTGGAGGTTTTTATCCGGAACCCGAAAAACCGATAAGCAAAATCGAACCCAAAACGAAAAACCCGAAACCTGAAACGAACCCAAAAAATCGAAAATGTATATAATCGGGTCTGTTTCGGGTAAACCCAAAAAACTGAATCCGAATGGACACCCCTAATCACAACATTAATTAGCAATTCCCACTGTCACAATGGTACAACTATATAGCTTTGCGATTTGATGGCTTGTCAAAAGCTCCTCCTCCTTGTTTGTATTGTCTAGTGGAGACTCAACAATTGGATAGTGTAATTATTAGGGCCGGAAAACGGTGCCGACCATATATATGGTCTATGTTTCAGACCAAGAGGCTGAAGTATAGACCATAGACTAGATCACAAACTCTGCGGTCTGGTTCAGATCACGCTTGTGCGGTCTGGTTCGGTCTGGCCTGGTCCAGATGGACCACACTCAACGAAAAATGAATAATTTGTTTTGTCAACCACACAAATAATTGAACCAATAACCAAGAAAATTATTGTTATTTTCCTTAACACATTAATCCTAACATGCGTGAATAATTTTGATACCCTAAATCTTAGTACATCACAAAGATACAAAGTAAACGCATCCCAACTTGCACCATAACGTCATAAACATTAACATAATGTCATATGGAGACATAATTATCTCTACTCTCTGGTTAAATGTGGTTGTGAATGAAGGAGATACGAGACTCACAAAACTAAGGTTGAGACTTGGGTGTCGTTGTGGAAGTTGTGAGAGTGGTCGAATGGGCTGTTAACAGGTAGTGACAAGTCAGTTGGGTCCACGGTTTGGTCCGGTAAAACGCCGTCTAGACCAGATGATATGATCCCAAATGGTCAACTATGCACGTTTAATTTACTTGACAAAGTAGCTATCGAAGTTGGGAAAAGAAGGGCAGAATTTGGCTAAGTCAAAATCTGTTTTCAGGGTACATACTTTGGAGGCATGGTTCTCTCAATTGGCTTGATGGAAATTCAAGTTTAAGGGTTTATTTTGCAGATACAGTTTTCATCTTTCCAATGGTATGCTTTGTGGAGCAAGATGATGTCATTAAGGTTGTTTTCCAATGCCTCAAAGTTGCTACCTCAAAAGTGGATAACTGCTAGAAAATGGCCAAGGCAGAAAACTATTTTGTGAAGCCTACTTTGGAGCTCAATTCAAGGAGCATGGATGAGATTCACGTCAAAAGGCTTCCACAATATGAAACTAGGTATGTTTTTGAACACAGGGAAGTAACTGGATGAAGAATTGGAGTTCTGTAAGGCTTCGAACGAATGGCACGAAGTTAGTATGAAAACTGTTTTTGGACAGTTTAATTGTGCTAAAAGGCAGCTTGCTTGTGCTTGAAGAGAGTTTATGACCAAATTTTGATTCCTTTTTAGAGTTTGTTTTTACCATAATTGTTTCCTAGCTCTATTAGGTTTTTTGTGTCTTTAAATAGCTTTCAATTTCACGTTGTAAATCATAGAGTTGAGTTGAATTAAAATTACTCCTACGTGAGTTTTTAGTTCTTTGAGTTGTGTCTCAAGAATCTAATCCTGGAGTTAGTTTTGTGAGGATTTCATTGCTAATTCGAGAACCCTTGTCAATCTTTTCTGCGAGGATTCCATAATCGGTTTACGAGTTTTCTTATCAATCAAGTACCACCTTGATTGTGGCGAAATTCTACATTTTCCATCATTATCGTTCGAGAGTGTGTTGGCTTCGTTACTTTGATCAAAAGCACCCACCTGGTCCTTTATCAAGTGGTATCAGAGTCTGATTCAAATCAGTGGAGAGGAAGAATTGAAAGGGTTGTGTTCTCGTGCAAATTCATACGCAAAACAAAGCACCCCCTGGTGCTTTATTAAGTGGTATCAGATTGGATATGGGAATGATCGAGAAGGAAACACCCAAATTGAATTTGCCACTTCTGGGTTCTGAAAATTCAAAATCGCTCGACGGCGGGAAGAGGGGAATAGTCGATTCGACGATGATGGTAATGAATCGCGATTGGGAATATGTCCAGAATTACAATTGGAGGCCTGGCGAAGCTCTTGGAGTCATCGAATTAGATTGGGGTTGCCTCAATTCAAAACCCCCAGTTGTGACGAAGAACTTGTGCCGAACTACAGTCCGATGACCTGGAGAAAGTTTCGATCGATTTTCGACAAAATTGGTTATCGAGGAAGGTATATTTCAACCCCAGAAAGCGTTTCCAACAACACTGCAGGCTTCAAAGTCCATGAAACAGATCGAAGTTGAAGTTGTTGAAATTCTGCAGAAGAGCATGTTTGAGCAGCTTTCTTTCGATCCAATTTGGGATCAATTCTATAAACGGTTTAAGCAACGAAAGGCCAAAGTGTTGAGGGCAACACTTTTTCAAGAGGGAGGGCCTGATATGATCCCAAATGGTCAACTATGCACGTTTAATTTACTTGACGAAGCAGCTATCGAAGTTGGGAAAAAGAAGGGCAGAATTTGGCTAAGTCAAAATCCGTGTTCATGGTACATACTTTGGAGGCATGGTTCGAGAGTGTGTTGGCTGCGTTACTTTGATCAAAGGCACCCACCTGGTGCTTTATCACCAGACCAGACCAAGAGATCAAAACATATAATAATACAGACCATGGACCACGCCATATTAACAGTCTACGGTTTGGATCAAACTGTGCGGTACGGTTTGGACCACGGTTTTTCTAACGGTCTGGTCTTCCCAGCCCTAGTAATTATGGGGTAATGGTGGAACAACTTTGAAAGAGCATGACCTAGATACATACAACAAGTTGCAAAAGCTGCAGTACAAGAGCTGAACATTAATACTGCTGGCTGCAACTTTGGTCTGCTTTGATTGCGACGAGCAATACCTCTCTTCCTGCTCCTGTTGCGAAATCTCCCACAATCGCGCCTCCCTTTCCAGCAACAACAATTCCGAACAGTGTAGCCGAAATTGAAGATCGGAACTGCGACCTGTGGGTACTCAACGGCGATTACGTGGCGGGCGGAGGGTGCGTCTAGATGGTTTCGAGGTCGAGATCATTGTGCAGCTCCACGGGAGGTGGCGGAGTTGGGTTTTTCGCGGGGTCGGAGTGAGAAGCTCTGTTTCCGGAGAAAAAAGCTATGTCTCCGCGCTCGGAGCTCCGGGTTCAACTGGCTGGTATTCGGCCGTCGTCTTAATCAAAGCTGTCGGCGGAGGCGACAGAGTACGAGACCACGAGATCGGAGCACAGGATGGCGGGAGGAGAAGGAAACGGCGTGTTGAACAATTTCTTGTGACAGCCGGCAATGATAGGTCGGGAGCAGGCGCCACCGAGTCGATCGACGAACCGCCAAGCAGACAGGGCAGACGGACAGTCTCTTGTGACTGCCGGTGAATTGTTTAGGGTTTGTTTTTTTAATTAAACAGAAATAAATAAAATAAAATAATTAAAATTGAAATTAAGAGTAAATGAGGGGCGATTGGGTCATTTTTCTACCCTTTTAACAGTCACTTAACGGATAATTAGACGGAAGGGTAAACTCGTTATGTTTTCATATTAGAAGGGTATGTTTGTGCAAAAATTTAGTAAAATGGTACGTTTGTTAATTTACAATAGTAGAGGGGTACAAAATTCTATTAACCCAAATATATAATGGTAAACCCAACTTGGGTTGTATCCAAACAGGCTGTAAAAGAAACTAGGGAACTTATTTGTCAAGATAACCAAAATAGAGGATCATTTACCCAAAGCAGCGACCCCAAAAGCAGATGGCCGATGGGGCACTATCATTAGGGAAGGCAACAAAACCCGAACCCACGGGTACCCACCCGACCCAACCCGGTCAACGCGGGTAAAATCCATGTTGACGGTTTTTGGGTCGAGTTTGGGTTTAAACCCGTTCACTATTCATCGGGTTGGGTTTGGGTTTAGGTAAACCCGACCCATGGGTACCCTCCCACACTCATATAATTCATTTTCTCGGTATATTTAATAGGCAAAATACACTTGTGTAGCCAAAACTTTGATGGTTTGACCAAATATAGCCACTTTTGACGAAATACCAAAAATAGCCACTTCCGTCCAATTCTTTGACGGTGTCAAGTAACGGACTGACTGGACTAACGACATTGCTGAGTTGGCGACCGTTAAATAAATTAAAAATGTGAGGTGGAAAATAAAAATAAAGAAAATAAATATTTTCATTTTTCTCTCTCTCATCTCTCTTCTTCTTCATCCCTTCCCCTGTTCCCCAGTCGAAACTCTCGTTTTAATCAAACCCAGATCTGGGCGACGACACAAAAATAGTAGCAACAACGAGCTGGGCAACGAGGGTTACATAGTCTCGGCGACGACCACAGATTTTCAGAAGGCGGTGGCACGAGTCGAAGGTGATGGGATGCCTCTGTTCTGATAATGGTGCTGCTTTGGTTGATGTAGAGAACTGTATGAATAGATGGATTTTTGGATTGGAATGGTGATGGAGGATTGTTGCTGGGAATCTGCATGTCAACAACCCAATCTTCTCCTCTTCATCTTCGACATCCAAACCCGCTGCCATTGCAAGATCTTGGAGCTAGCAACAGAATTCAGCGATAGGGAGGATTTTTAAATTGGGGGGGTTTTTTTTTTTCGATTGAGTTCGTGATTTGGGGAATTTTGAAGAAGAGGAGATGAAGTTGGGAAGAAGAAGAGAAGGGCAACGGAGCCGGAATTTCACGCACTCATCCACAACATCCTGATCAAAGCATGCCTCGACGACAACGATGAGCCACGGAAGCTCGTCTTGTTGTACTATGAATATTTGCATATCTCCGACGGGCGAATCTCCTGGCGACGGCAGCGACTTCTCCCTCCATCCAACTCAACCAAATCCATTTACATCGGAGAAGTGGTGAGATGTTGTACAATAGGAGATGAACCGACGTGATGCCGAATTCGATGGCGGCAATAGGTTTACCCGGGGAGGTGATGGACTCAGAATCGGAGAGGCAGACAAGAGGTTCAAGATCTGGAGGAGTGGTGGTGGGTTGTTGGGGGGAGAAGAAGAGGGGTCTTGGAAGCAGATTAATGGTGATTGACGATGGGAGGAGGGGCGGTGAGTTGCTAGAGGAGAAGAAGAGAGTTCGAGGAGATTAGGGATAGGTGTTTTTTTTTTTTTTTTGTAAATGACGTGTCGTCCACCTGTCAATGAATGCTGAGGTGGAAACGAAAGTGAGGGTGAGCTGGCAGCCAGATCAGTGTTTCGTTTGTTTGACTAACGGTGTCACTGACGCCGTTAAATTATGTAACGAAAATGGCTATTATTGTCATCAAACTTTCAAAATTTTGGCTATTATTGGTATTTCTCCAAAAGTGGCTATTATTGTCACAAATGTCAAAGTTTTGGCTACACAGATGCATTTTGCCTATTTAATATTCTAAACAACTAATCTTATTTATGTTTATGAAGACATGTCTAATTTTTTCTTTTTAATTGTGTAGAGTGAAGTTGATGTTATCGAGTGGAGAGTGAAGAAACTTAATTAAAAGGAAGAAGCTTTCAATTAATCATGTTATTTGTGGATAATTTGTAATTTACTTCAATTTTCTTGAGTTTTCTAGATTGGTGTTGAACAATTTGTATACTTAATTTGTGATTTACTTGAATTTGCTATAATGGTGTTTTATATATGGATAATTTGTATTGAGAGATTGATATTTGACTTTAATTTTGATAGGTACTTGTTATTGTAAATTTTTTACGACAAAAACCCGTGGGTATCCATGAACCCGCGGATATCCAGCGGGTTGGGTTGGGTTTGAGTTTTTCAAACCCAGTGAAATTTACCCTCAAGTTTTTTCACGGATAAACCCATAGATTTGGGTTTGGATTTGACCCAACTCGACCCATTGCCATCCTTAATTGTCATGAAGATTCGGAAAATCGAACGGTAGCGATGAAGTTAACGGAGCAGGTGTACCGGAATCTGCAGTCTATCGACCACAGACAATCACTACCCCATTTTAATTTCTTACCCCCGAGAAAACTTCTCCTTCCTCCTTTTCCTCTTCGCTTCTTCCTCTCACTCCCTCGTCTTCCTCCTCATCCGCCGCCGCCATCTCCGGCAACGGAACCCTTCTCCTTTTCGTTTCCCCCACCTCCCTCTCCTTTCTCTATCTAATCGGAAATAATAGTTACAATTGGTAGAGGAGGAATTTAAGTGCCGGAATCGGAAGGGCGTCGGCGTCGAAGACCAAAAAAAGGCCTTCGGTTGAATCGGTGACCGGAGTGCCCTTTTTTTGGCGGGGTCGGTTGAGGAAGGAGACAAACAACGAAAACCCTAATTAATTGAAAAAGACCATTTCCCCAATTTGATTCCGATTTCCATTTCTATTCAATCATGCAGTTGTTGAGGTTTCTCTCTCTCTCTACGCTTCTCTGCCCCCGAATCTTCACAATCCGGATTCGGATAAGAGCTTGATATGTCTCTGTTTTCAGGTTTGTTGAGAGTCTCCTTCCTGGACTTGGTGCTTTGCAAGCTAAGATCTCCGACGTGGCGCCTGTAAATGCAGTTTTGTAGATTGCTTCCCCCTTGGATCTGCCATCTCTTTGCATGCATGGGGTGAGCTTTTCTGAATTATCCTTTTTGTTGCTTCTGAATAAGATGAGATGAGATGGATGATTCACAGTTTAAGGAGCTGTGAAACTGTGGGGAAAGTTCCGGTCTTTACTTTCAACTGTTTTTGTTTGGTATAAAGCTAGTAAAGAGGGAGTTTGGGATCCAGATTTCCAGCTGGAGACCAGTTTTTAGGCATACCCCAGAGGCTTTAGATCCTTTAGTGCTCATAAAATGTGGCTCTTTACCTGTCTCTTTTGCGTCAGCAAATAGGTAATGAATGTTCTATCAAGCTTGCCTGCCTGCCTCGGTTTGGTTTGGTATCTTTTGTTTAATGCCTTTGCTTCGTCTGTAAGTAAAAGCTTCACTTGTGGGGAACAGAAGACAAACAAGGATTGGCTTTTCTTGTTGCCCCTTCATTTCCTTGAAAGAATGGGCTACTGGGATATTCTACTCTCCTATGAGTTTGCTTGCGGGCAGAGGCCTTTTTCATGTAGGAAGTAATGTTCTCTGCATGTTGTTTCCTGAACCAGACCGAGAGGTTTGTTTGGAGGAAACCTTGCAGTTCTTTTATATTGCTTTCTGGAGCATATTTCCGTGTTGTGGCACACATGGGAATGGAAGGATTTAGGAGTAAATGGAAGGGTATTTTTAGTGTGAGAAGCTTTCACCTTTCTTTGTGTTCTTCTCCTTTTCATTAATGTTTATTGCTAGAGTCAACCTGCCACCATACATGTGAGATAGAAATGATTGCTGGTAGCATCCCCCAGAAACTTCAGGGAACTCACCCTAACAGCTACTTGACTTTTTATTTTATTCCTGGTCTCTGATTTTGTTTGCATTGAATTGATGATAAAATTTGTGTAATGGCATAGATGTATGCTTGCTTAGTTTCCCATTTTCCGTGTATCACTACATATGACAAAATTGTGTAGGTTTTAGGCTTGTTGAAGCTATTGTATATCGCGTATCCGTTTGTAACGGTTGCATACCTTTAAGACTTCAAATTGTATATCGAGAATTCTCGTAGGCTGAAGGATAACTCACGTGTCCTGTCGGTGATACTTTTGTGACACTATTAGAGTACATTGCATTTCACATATCCTTTTGTAACGGTTGCATACCTTTAAGGCTTCAAATTGTATATGGAGAATTCTCGTGGGCTGAAGGATAACTCCCATGTCCTGCCGGCGATACATTTGTCACAGTATTAGTATCTTTTCCATCTGTATAATTTATATTATCATCATTTAGCTGTGTAATGAGAAGTACTTGGTTGTCAATTACTCGGTTTTAATCATATTTGTGGTAAAACCTGATTTGTAACAGAGCAGAGGTTGTCTTGGTTGCTGTGCTAAACCCACTACCGTTGTTTCTGTCAATGAGCATTCAAAGGGACTAAGGCCTCTAGACCGGACATCTAAGAAACATAGCATAACCGACGATTTCTGGAGCACTAGTGCAGCAGAAATAGACAACAGTGCTCTACAATCACAGAGAAGCATGTCATCCATCAGCACACTAAACCAGCCCCTTGATCCCTGCAGTAACGCTGGCAGCTCAAGCAACCCTCCTGAATTTGTAAATCATGGCAAGTTCTACAAATTATCACAAGTCCTGGTCAATTTATTGAAACTGCAGATACTGCACAATTACCTTCTCTTAATGGTCTTTTCTATGCCTTTGGTTTGGCCATTTTCTATTGTATCCTTGTGAGGAGTTTGTTGATAGTCTACGTTGACATGTTATTTCTTTTGTTTTGTTCAACTTCGCCCTTTTCCAAGGTGGTTTGAACTTGCTTTTAAATTTGTCCTTGGAAGGTTAGTGCATAGTGAAGTACACTGAAAAAGGATTCTGTTTGCTGGTTGTAGGTCTTCTTCTATGGAACCAGACAAGGCAGCAATGGCTTGCAAATAAGTTAACTCAGAGCAAAACACAATCACAAGTTCGTGAACCCACGATAAGGTGACTTCTCGTTTCTCTTTCTGAAAATGGTGACTCTAGAGCATTGCCATTCCCTCTAACCCTAATTTAAAGTGAAACCATTCTCTGCTGGTCTATGTGCATGATCGTAAAAAAAGTTTCACCGGTAAATTGTCTCCTGTATGTGGCAGTTGGAATTCTTCTTATGAGAGCTTGCTCGGGAGTAATAAGCCATTCACCCGTCCTGTTCCTCTGGCTGTAAGTTTTAAAATGGTGGCCTTTCGTTAAAAGCAAGTTCAGCAGGCCAATGAGATATTTTACACTCATATTTTGTTCTTTGTGTGTTGGAAAATGGCAGGAAATGGTGGATTTTCTAGTGGACGTTTGGGAACAAGAAGGGTTGTACGATTGAATCAATTGGGAAGGAGCCTTATTTAGAAGTTCTTTCTCTCTTTGGTGGTAAAATCCAGGGTTGTAGCAAATTGTGATTAACCCATAATTTACGTGTTTCCTCATCCGGGGAGGAAGAAAAGAAACACATCTTCCCTCAGAACCACTTTGTAAGCTGTCTTTTGATTTAGATTGTCGACCGGTGCCTCCGCCGGGCTCGGAGATTTACTGTGATTCTATTGTTATCATCAGCCTCTATCAAATCAGTACTTGTGCACTGATTGATTTCTGAGGCGTTCTGTTGCTGTTGAAAGCCTACCTTTTTTTCCTACTACAGTTCCAGAGTGGGATATGGGTCAAAGAAAATCACCCCTGGCCTTAAACGCCAAAGGGTAATCGTGATGGAATGATTAATGAAATTCTGAGATGAAGAATCCATGGATTTAGTATAATCGTGGAATTCAAATCCTCATTCTCCAAGAAACCTCTGCATCTTTTCTCGCACAGTATGCTCTCACCAAATAATAAGTAATGCCTTTGCTTGGTCTTCACTCTTCAGGGTTAGCCGCCTTCTTAAGGATTGATCACTTAAATCAGATACCCAAAATACAGAAATGGAGACTTGTGTTGTGTCAGTCTATGCAGGACAAGAAACAGGATTTGGATGGTATTGGTAGGGTTTACAGGGAGGAAGTTTGTCTTCTCCTTCCCCCCTAACCAATAAACAGAAGCATTTATGTGGTGGGTGGTGGACTCTAGTTTAAGCCGAATGTGTTTCAGTCTCCACCCCATCCCATCCAGTCCCACAATGGAAAAGCAAAGCGACAAACCATGGTATCTGGTTCTGGTGTATCAGGAAAATTGAGCTAGTATCAAGAATTAGTCCATTACAAGTGATTGTTTATACGGTACAAGGGTATTATGGGCTGGTTGTATTAGTTAAACAACATAACATCACCGCCTAACTTAGGTTTGTTCATTTCACCAGTTGCATTGTGTAGGTCCCTAATAAGTGATCCGGTGAGTAGATGAGCACCTCTTATGAAGTGGTAAATCCCTATGGTCGTAACAGAGTCATTGAAATTTATTGTGATACTCATGTCCAATGCAGTCAAAAATCGAGGCAAAATCGGAATCGTAGATTAAAATCGTAAAATTGTAATATTTTAAGGTTCATATTAAAATGAAGATTTAAAACTCCATAGAGTAATAACAATGCATATTATGTATTAACAGTCAACCACATATAACTTAATTATTTTCCAACATAAGTTTCTTTGTTAAATAAACACAAATAAGTCCATAAATTTATTCTTGTACATAATAAAAACACACAAATAAGCAATCTGAAACCTCATAGGAATTACTTAATCTAGTTAATAGCTAAGAGTATAAATCACATAAGATCATTAGGATCAACATTAACATCCAGAACAAGTTATGTTTGGAAAGAAAGGTGTTCGAGATTATATGGAGATGCACGAGCTGCTATTCCAGAACAAGTGTCAAGGAGGATTTTGTCTGAGTTTTCTATTTTTGCCCGTAACAATGTAGCCTTCCAGCTGAGAGTATTGCGTGTTATTTGTTCATAGTATAGTATTCATATTTTGATGTTTACAGGTAGAGAATAGTATAAACTGTAAACATGACAACTTGAGAGGGAGCTTTGCGAGTTGCAGCCCCCCGGGCTTACATGCATTTTTTTTATTACTCATAAAAAAAACATTAACATCCCTCACACAACATCACCTGGCCCTCACCCTCACTCATATCCTCATAGAATCATTAACTATTTGCTTGAGTAACAATATCATTATTCTCAGGATCACTTGAAGTAAGTTCACCAATGAATATACATCCTTGATAAATGTTATCTGAAAAAGGTAACGCACTGATTGAAGCATTCCCTTCTTGATCAATAAAGATCGGGGATGGTGGCGCTGAAGGTTTTGGAGATGAACAAAACCTTGCAAGGGAATGGGGGTTGGGCTAATTGGGAGATTGGTGGGGAACAAACTTCTAGCTAATTATGAGGATGGAGGAAATCATTGATAGAAGGATTTTGAGTGTAGGCAATGTGGAAGAGGGAGCGATGAGGAAGAGAACAAACATAATTGAGGATCACCTATCGTGTTAGGGTTATCTTGTTCATTATGTTGGGTTGGGGGAAGTGAACTTGACCCGGTTAAGGGGAAAACCCCGACATGACCGGTCTGATTTTGCTCCAATTTTGATGAAAACTTGAAATCGTATATTTTAAGGATTTTATAGTTTTAAATCGGAATTTTATGGGATTTTAAGGTTCAATGATTTTGTAGTAAAATTAGGATCATAACTCATAAGTAAGCTCGTAAAATCATAAGATTTTAAAATTAAAATCGAAATTTTGACTACATTGATCATGTCAAGTACGGTCTCCACCCCTTACTTCCCTGTAAAATAACGTGGTCTGCTGCTTTAACTTCTCCCAAACGAGGATTCGTTGCTCTAGCTTATTAGAGGCTTACACAATGTCCAAGAAAACGAGATCACCCCCTTAACAACCGTGGATTGAACACAATAATAATCTGGTGCACGAACATACGGGGTCCTTGGATTTATAACAAGGGAACTTCGCAAATTAACTAAGCCATTTATTTCCAAATGGATACTCTGGAGATTCTTTTTATATTTTATATCATAAGGCGTTATTTCCCAACTATTATCTTAATCAAAAGTTAAAACCACCCACTTGAGATATAATTAATTTTAATTGAGTGTTATACGGCCCCCACGTGATTAAAACAAAGTGTTCCAACTCATAGATGTTGGAAGGTGCATTTACGCCTGCTCCATTTGACTCATTAATCTTGTATTTATAATTAACATAACTAATTAATCACATATAATAATGATTAATAGTTAAACCCCCTCAACTTTGCTATCTGCTCCAGTGTACCTTGCACGCATTTCGTATTTTATTCGTGGTTGCATTTATTTATCTATTTATGTATCCTACAAATACAAGAAGACGAAAAAGGTAAATAGACGATAAATAAAGTGTTAGGGACCATTGTGAATTGTGATCCGTATCCAACTTGGATTATCATAATGCTTAATTGTAACACATATGTAAAGCATATGAATTAGAATATTAGACTATGTTAGTTAGTTAGTTAGTTAATATTAGCGATATATTGGTACGTGGATGATTAATCCGCGTTTTGAATTTTGATATCAATCAACTCACAAATAACTCCGACCGCAATGGGTGGGTGATTGATGTGGGTGGGTTGTGGTTGATAATCTCCTACCAACATTTATTGGGGTGGGTGGATTGCAGGTCACCTGAATGACGTGCACCATATTTCACAAGACAACAAATTGTTTCTTGTTTGTACTCTCGAATAGTCATCATATTTTTTAACAACACTAAACACCGACCATCGACTTCTAAAAGGAGAATAAAAAATATTTTGGACTACTATTATTGGTTACTATGTTGTGCAATGTCCATTGGACATTGTGATGCAAATTGTTATAAATTATTAATTGTATCAAAGTTTCAAAATGCGTAAACTATCTCTACACAATTGGTTGATGGAGTAATGAAAAATTTGATGCAAATAATACATAGATCCATAGGAGACAAGGTGAGAAGTGTATAAATTACTACTATCTTACGAATTTGCGAATAACTTATTATAAATGTTAGTCTACTTGCTTAATGGTTATTTGAAAAATTACTTTTGTGGGTAAAGTCACAACCCAACCGCGCTCATCCACTGCCCACCCAACCCAATTCGGAGAAGAATGTGGGTGGATAATGGGTCACAATTATATCAACTCGCTAATAAGTAGGTGGATCAATTTTGAGAATGATGATGCACTCACTCTAATAATTTAAAATTTGTTTTCCGATCACTCGCACGGAAGTCTGGGCTGCACTCAGAAGGTTAGAGCTCTTTGGAGGGATGTATATCACATTGTCGCGATTGAGACAGACTCTACTACGACGGTGGACAACCGGCATACGAACTCAATTCACTCTTTCCTTTCGGTGGTAGCTGCTCATCATCCTAACTAACTGATGTAAAAAAATATGTACAAATTTAGACGAAAAAGGAGTTAATAAAACAAAACTATTAGAAATTAATTTGTACTAATTTTTTACTCAGTTTGTACTGACCACTTCCTACCTATTGTATAGTCACATTTCTCACCTACTATGTACCTACCTTATAACAATGGGTGAAAACAATGACATCAGTCAACTATAGGGGAGTCAAGTTAAATGGAAGTGAACGTATATCGTAAGGTTAGAAATTTATGTTTATTTATTAGTGAAGAGTGTGTCGTGAAATCATCATGTAAGTGAATATGCAACTGAATGTCAAAACGAAGAGTCGAGAAGTCAATTAAAAGATAAAGAAATATCTTAATAGTTAAGATTTGCATGCATGATCCCTATTTTACGAATGCAAACACGAAAATCCCAATAATTTTGAACAATCAATTAAGAGAATACTATCTCGTCAAAACTCTCACAACAGAACACTAGCTCGGATTAAAATACCATGCTTGTACAATCAGCTAAATTACACGTTTGGTCACTCAAATTATACAAATCTTTCATGTTTGCCCCTCGAATTACTTTTCTTTCGGATTCGCCACTAACTTTACAAATCGTTTCATCGTTAGTCACCGGCCGTTAGACTCCGTTAAATTTGTCCTACGTGGCATTCAACTATCAAGTTTGACCGTTAACTAGATGACGTGGAAATTAAAAAAAATTAAAAAAATAATCATTTTTCCACCTCATTATTCCACTTCACTTTTCTATATGATTTATCATATTAATTATTTAACAAAAATTAATTAAATTATAAAACTTAATTATCGGCAAAAAGGAAGAAATTACAGACGGGGTAGGTGAAGTAACCAAACCCAAAGAGAGCGGAAGAGGCGCCAACGAGAATACACTGGCTAGAAGCTCAGAAGAGCGTAACCTGCAGCAACAGGAATTTAAAGTCGCGGCCACGCAAAATCGGAAGAGCCCAAAAGAAATGCTTTTCTTCTTTCATCATATGAAGATGGAGCTCTATTGGATCTTTTGAGTTTTCTTTCTTTATGGTTGGGGGTTGGAGGATTAATTCCCTAAATATTATTTTTATTTTTTATTTACCATGAATATGGTGGTTTAAAAACTATTGGCACATATATTGTGTTTTTTTGTAGGTGTTGATTTTTCGATAAAACCCAGCGGCGGCGCCCGAGATTGGGGCTTTGGCGCTTGATATAAAGCGAAAGCGGTGGCGCCCCAGTTCGAGGCTTGGTCGTTGCCTTCTTCTTCCACTCTAGCACCACTCCAGCACCATATATACTCCATCTTTCCTTTGGTTCTTCACCACCAAAAAACTGAAAGAAGTTCCGAAAGAAGCTCTAGTGTTGCTGTCTGGTTGCTGGGAAGATGGCTAATAATAGGTAAGAGACGTATTTATTTTTTTAATGTATTCTTCAAATGCTATAATGATTTTGTCCAGTTAGTAATTAGTGGGTTTGTTTTTTATGTAGTGGTTTAGAAGATTTGAACTAGCTGTTCGGTGGAAATCAGAGAATGTAGAGGATAATTTGGGTGTCATTTCGTTGGTGGTCTAAGTTTTCATATGACTATTCCATCTAGGGTGAACTATCAGAAACTTTGTGATAATCTAATTCGGAGAATACGGCTTAGAGACAAAGCAGTAGAAGATAGTGTTGTGATTACAGGTTTCACTTACTATCTTCCAGAATGGTAGAATGGTGTTTTATTTCATTATGCGATGCCTATTGTCGATGATGATAGCTTGAATGTGCTTTGGCATTTTATGGCACAAAACCCTTATTGTTTGGGTGCTGAGATACATGCTGAGCTCAGTGAGGATCGGGGTGGAGAGGAAGAAGATGACACATGAAGCATGCCATCCGATCATGACTATGATGATGGTGATAACGGAGATGAGGAAGATGAGGAGGAGGAGGAGGAGGACGACGGGGAGGAAGGAGAACAACCTAATTATCCTCCATATTTTTACTTGCAGGGTTATGAAGAGGACGACGGATTATCATATGTTGATTCATATTACGTAATTCCAATGCCTATTGTTGGTGGTTTTGATGGAGAATTCTACAAGGGGCAAATATTTCACTCGAAACAAGCTGCACAGGTGGCGATTAAACACTACGCACTACAACGCAACTTTCAATATAACGTGGTGGAGTCGTCACCTTCAATCTAGAAGATCAGATGTTTGATGCACAAGGAGGACAAATGTCCTTGGACGATGCTGTTTGGATGTCGAGATGTGGGAGGCGATTGGACTGTGAGAAAGGCCGAGTTGGTGCATACTTGTAGTAGTACGACTCAACCGACGGATCATCGCCATCTTGATGTCGACATTATATCTGAGTCCGTGAAACACTTAATTATATTCGTAATTTAATTTAATTAAGATCTATTCGTAATTCAATTTAATTCTATTCGTAATTTAATTTAATTCTATTCGTAATTTAATTTAATTCTATTCTATTCTAATTTCAGTTGAGTTCAACTAATAAAAAAACTATAGAAATAGTTTGAAAACTTACCTCGTTTGCCCAAACTGCGTCAATACGATGGTGACCATGCGCCCAAAGAAGTTCTGGATCCACCGGAGCTGTATCAATTGTTGCAGGTGGTGGTCTCATCGAACATGGATCCATAAGGCTAGGAACTAGAAAAAAAATTAATTAGAAGATAAAAAAAAAATTAACTAACTTGTTGCCGGCGGCGAGAATCCGGCCACCGCCGCGCGAGAATCCGGCCACAGCCAAACTTACCCCTGTAGCGGCCGCGGTCGCCGCCGCCACGATGCCCTCGCCTCCCTCTGTCCCTTCCTCTGCCGGGGCCGGCCTGCTCGTCGTCGGACATGGCTGATCGCGGGGGAGATATCAGAACTGCGCGGGGAAGAGGAGAGCGACGCCGCTCTGGACAAGGCGCCTTCGTCGGGATGCTGGCGCCGCCGCCTGGGTCTGAGGCGCGACCCTCCTTCTTCTCGGTGCTATCGTCGCTGTCGGCGTTGGGTTGGGGTTGGGGGTGAGGGACTCTCGAGTCTCGACTGCGGGCTGGTGTGTGGTGAGGAAGCGACGACGAGTGAGGAAGAAGATAATAAGAAAAAAAAAAGGGAGTGACGAAGCCTGAGTTTAAGGCGTTGGAGCTTTTTAAGTTTTCGAAAACTTTCAAATAGCGCCAGCGCCTGAGTCTCGAGCGGGCGCGCTGTCAAGTTGTTGTAAAAAACATAAATTGCGCCCGCGCCTGAGTCTCGAGCTTGGACACTTTTAACCATGGTCCTTGAAACCGTACCGGCGGTCCAACCACGAAATACCAGTATTGGAGGCTAAACCGGTAGGCGGTATTTAACGGTACAACGGTTGAACTATGGTTAAACCACGGTTTTACCATACAATACCCTACCGCTGACTTTCCCGATACGATCTCCAGTATGGTTTCATGGACCATGCTTTTAACCTGCCAAAAAACACAATATATGTGTCAATAGTTTTTAAACCGCCATATTGGTGATAAATTAAAAAAAAACACAATATTTGCGTCATTTACCCTTGGAAAAGGTGGAGGGAAATGAAGGGAGCTGGATAGGGAGAGCCAAAGATGGAATCTGTGGCTGAGGGGTTTTTGCCAGAAATGGTAAAAATTTTCAGAAACCATCAAAATATGAAAGTCTCCACGAGAGATCAGAGCTTTGCACGAACATAAAAAATTTTCCTCTGAAATTTCTTTCTCTTTGTCGATAATTAAGTTTTATAATTTAATTAATTTTTGTTAAATAATTAATATGATATATAGAAAAGTGAAGTGGAATAATGAAGTCGAAAAATAAATTATTTTTTTAATTTCCACATCAACTAGTTAACGGTCAAACTTTATAGTTGACTGCCACGTAGGACAAATTTAACAGAGTCTAACGGCCGGTGACTAACTGTGAAACAATTCGTAAAATTAGTGGCGAATCAGAAAGAAAAGTAATTTGGGTAGCAAACATGAAAGATTTGTATAATTTGAGTAACCAAACATGTAATTTAGCCTTATACAAGCAGACTAAGATAATTAAGAAAGCAAAGAACTCCATGTGTATAGAGGGAAAAACAACCAAGCCTTAGGTGTATCCATGAGACCTAGCTAGCTAGAATTTATCAAGAAATCATAAACTAAAAACACTAAATAACCAAGGAGAGGATATACATAGATCTCATGCATCGTGTTATTAGGCTGCCATATGCATGGATTAACTATTAAGTACGAGATACTCGAACCTCAAAAGACTCCAAGAAGGCAAGAACTCCATTATTATGGCCGCAATTAATTATTGCAACATGTAAATTATTAGATACAAAACATGCTAATCAACTTTGGGCAGAAAAGATTCAACTAATTAAGCGGGTTCCCAATTGGGCTTGCAATTTGCATACACCTAGGACATGGGGATGTTCCTCTTTAATTCCCTCGTTTTTGTTCTTAACAATAGCTTAATTTCATTTTTAGTATTATCATACCATCTTTCAACATTATTTCGGGATGAGTTGTATTCTTCTTTGATCAATAGACTAATACTTTGTACGGTAAGTCGGTAACTAGCTAAATCGCCTTATTATTCGCGGGAATATAATGCTAACCAAATTTGTCGTATGTCTCTCTTACGTGGTTGCACCTACATTATAGCAATTTGGTGACGAAATGATCGTCACATCCAACTGATAGAGGATTACGGTCGTAAAAGTGGCAGTAAGACTGGCACTGGTCCAATTTATTAGATTTAGTGTATGTTTCTGGTTGTTTCCAAAATCAAATAAGTACCTAATTTGCCACGAACATGCAAATGTATGACGACCGAATGAATATCCAACTCCTAACACTTTTAGTAGTTTTCACGGATGCCGCCAAAATCCATTTTAGTCAGTGACCATCATCACAAATTAATCCTCAGTACCTAGAGTGAAGTATATTCTTATGTGGTGAACAAACCTTGTTAGAACTTTATATGGCAAGCTTTCTTTTTATTTTTTAGGGAAAGAACCCGAAGTCCGACCTTTTCAAACCTTTTTTGATGGTTTTCTTCAAATTAATATAGGGACTAATTTGCAAGTTGCATTACTTTAGGTACCTGAATCTAAGAGTGATGGGAAGAGATATCGAAGGAGGAAACATCAAACATGCTTGCATGGAACTTGCAAAGTGACAACACCCCATCACATAGAACTTGCCAGTCATCTGAGTAATGCATGCACTGTTCTACACGTTGCTTGCCTTTCACCATTGGAATTTTTTCCTTCCATTTCTGTTTCTATTGTTAGTTATGAACATTTTATTATTAGGACAATAATATGCCAATTTCGCTATGATACACACAGGGGTTTTTGTGTGCACCAACTCAAACGGCGGGGAGAGGGCCACGTCGCCCAAGCCATCGACGAATGGCCAGGATTGATCGGCTGGCCGTAAGAGAGGAAGGGGAAAATCGAAGCCGGCTGAGCCGAGCCAAAAACTGAAGGGAGGGAAAGGTGGTGGGGTCGCCGAGTTGGGGTTTTGAAATTGAAAAAAAAACTGCCAACCGTCTCCTCCTCCACTCTTCTTCCTTCTCTCTGCTCCTTCTTTCTCTATTCTTCTTCTTTCTCCGTTTTTATTTCTCTGTTTTACTCTCGTCGAACCAGAGCAACACAGACCACCCCTCCCAAAAACAAAGAAAAACGAGGAACACCGGAACAAGAAAAGTGCGGAAGAATCGTCCTTCTCTTGTCGGTGACGAGCAGCCCAGTCAATAACCAGGAGAGCTTTGACGAGGAAGAATCGTCCTTCCTCGAGTTCTTTGTATTTCGGCCGACCTTTCTCGCGTATTAATATCGGTGAGGACGATTCTCTCTGTCCTTTTCTTTCTAGCTGTGGGTTTTTTCCTTGAATCCCCCTTTTTGCTTCATTCTTGAGTGTTTAGGGTTCACTAAATACGCGTTTAGGGTTTTTTCGGTACACCTTCAAAATCGACTCGATTCTCAAGGGTATTCTTTTGAATGTGTCTTGTGTGGGCGAGATATGTCAATTTTTTGTTGACTAAGTTTTTGGGTTCTTGCTTAGAATCGGTTCTTGCTTAGAATCATTAAATATGGTTGAATCCAAAAGTAGTTGTCACCGTAACCTTCAATATGTTGAATACTAGTGATTTGTGGTTTGAAAATTAGTTGTATAATGTTGACTATGTTGTTGACGAATACTAGTTCTTCTGATCTTGAATATTAGTTGTATAATGTTGATTGTGTTGTTGACGAATACTAGTTCTTCTGATTTTGAATATTAGTTGTGTAATGTTGCCTGTGTTGTTGGCGAATATTAGTTATTCGGGTTTTGAATATTAGTTGTATAATTTTGACTGTGTTTTTGGCGAATACTAGTTTTTCTGATTTTGAATATTAGTTGTATTCATTGAAATTGTTTGTCTGTAACTAGATTAATACTGTATGTTGAAAGTTCTGAATATTAGTTCTCTTCATTGTGTTGCGTTTTCCCCTTTTCTGAATATATGTGTTTTTGGTCTACAGGTTTGGAATAATGGTGCGAACCAAGAAGCGTGTTCTTGGACCTATGAAACGACCGTTAGTAGATCCTCCTGCTGCTGAAGATGTTCCTCCTGCGTCTGAAGATGTTCCTCCTGCTATGAAACGACAACGACCCTTAATAGATACCCCTTCTGTTGGGAATTCTGGTGGGGAGTCTTCTGAGAATGCTACTGCGGGGAAAGCTGCTGAAGATGTTTCTCCTTCTACTGCTGAAGATGTTCCTCTTGGTTCAGAAGATCAGGTTGCAGCAAAAAGAGTTAAGTTTGTTGTTGGGACGTCCGGTGAGACCTCTGCAGAGAAGTCTAGTGAGACTTCTGTTGGGAAGTCTAGGGGGAAGTCTTATGGGAAGAAGTCTAAGGGAAAGTCTTCTGAGAAAGCTGGGGGGGAAGTCTGGTGGCAAAGCTTGGGGGAAGTCTGCTGACAAAGCTGTGGGGAAGTTTGCTGGGAAAGATGGGGGGAAGTCTGCTGGGAAAGCTGTGGTGAAGTCTGCTATGAAAGGTTGGGGGAAGGATGCTCGGAAAGGCAAGGCCAAGAAACACAGATGGGGGGAAGTCTGCTGGGAAAGCTGTGGTGAAGTCTGCTATGAAACACAGCATCGATGTCACACATCTTCATTGTTGAGTGTGATTAATTTTGGAAGAAGGATGAGGCCTACTATGAGGAATGCGAGAAGGAGCTTAAGAAGGAGGGGTTTGATGGATTGTTGTTGATACGCTTGCGCGGCGTCGATAAGTTTCTGCTGTGTACAATGGCACGACACTACGATGCTATTTCTGGCATCTTCATTTTTGGAGAGGGAGAGAATAGGAAGGTGCTATCCTAGAGGACGAGGACGTGGCTCGTGTTTATGGCCTTCCTTACGTTGGGGAAGAAATCATGCTGGAGAAGTGCCTGGACAAAACCAAGTTGTCGGCTTTTCAAGCCGAGATTGGGATAGGAGGAAACCGGTGCCGAAATTTCCCTCTGAGTGATATGGTGGACTAGTAAACGGATGAGAATGCTAGGCCTCTTGTTCGTAAGGCCGTCAAGCAATTCATCCTGCTTGCCGTTGCCTCGTTGCTCCGACCATCATGGTCACAGATGAGTTCGAATGTGTTTGAATATGAGTTCGAATGTGTTTGATTATTAGTTTTATCGTGCTTGAATAATACTTTGAATGTATTTGAATATGAGTTCGAATGTGTTTGATTATATTGAGTGTATGTTATTTGAATATGACTCTGATTTTTCTGAATATGAGTCTGGGTTATTTGAATATTACTTTGAATGTGTTTCAATATGAGTTCGAATGTACTTGATTCTAGTGTCTGTTATTTGTGAATATGAATCTGGTTTGTTTGAATGAGTCTGGGTTATCTGAATGTGAGTTAGAATGTTTTTGAATATGTTTATTTGAATATGAGTTCGAATGATAATGAATATGAGTTCGAATGTGTTTGAATATGAATCTGGGTTATTTGAATATGAGTCAAAATTTTCTGAATAGACTTGGTTATTTGAATATCAATTCAATCAGATATGAATACTACTGTGTGTGTTCTATGAATATGGGTCTGAATTGTTTGAATATCACTTTAATCTTGTCTCGCCATTTAAATTCTTTTTTTCTCACCAATCTAACATCTTCCTCTTATTTAATTGGCAGGTCCATTTGTTGGATTTTTTGAAGGTCAAAGGTGTTGGGACCTTCATCACCCCAACCTGTAGCTACTGGTTCAAGGATCGTCAAATGAAGGTTGTTGAAGCCATCCATACCATGGGTAGTGGTGGGATAGCAGGTTTGTTGATGGCAAGACCAGAAGTTCGACAGAGGTTTAGTGGTTCTGTTGGAGATAAAGGGCAAAGCAGCACACAGGCTCCTGATGCTCATGAATTTTGAAACTCTTCTTGGTGGGAAAAAGGACGACTTGGAGCGCATGGATGAATATCATGTACGTTTAACTTTTTTTTTCCGAACATACTAGAGTAAGGTAGATTGCATGAACTAAAAAAATTTACATATACTTGTAGCTTAAGGTGTTGAAGTGCATGACTGAGTCCTTGTTCAATAAGTGGAAGGCACGGCTTGCAAGATTGAAAAACGTGGAGCCCCAATGTGGAGAGGAATGAGTAGCTTTCATGAAATTGGATGTAATAGATGTTGAGATTTGGGTAGTTTGAATAATTTGAATACTATTTCCATGTACATTGAATACTATTTCCATGTACTTTGTTATGATGACGGACGAATGTTTAGCGTTCTTGTTTGAATCCTATTTTGATGCTTTTTAGTACTATTTGGATGAGATTGAATAAAGTGTGTTATCAATGTCCTAAATACCTATTTTTTTGTCTTTTTCTAGCTAAGGGTTTGTCGTAGTGTGTATCTTCATGAGGGGAAAAGATGGCTAGAGTTGACCACACAAATTGGCCACATACTTGAGAAAATGGTTGAGAATAACAAGCCATATGAACAGGATATTGAGGATCCGACGACGGAGGAGGTTCCTTTGTCCTTTGTTGAGCCTCCTTCGTCATCTGTGGAGCCAACTCCAGCGTCCAAGGGTGATGCAGTTGAGCCGACTCCGGTGTCTGGGGAGACGCCCACTCCGACGTCCGTTGAGAAGGCCACTCCGGCGTCAGTGGAGAAGACCACTCCGGCGTCTGTGGAGACACCCACTCTGGTGTCCATGGATAAGCCTACTCTGGTGTCCGTGGAGAAGGCCACTCCGGTGCCCGTGGCGGCTCCAGTTACTTACCAGCGAAGAAAACCTGTTCCAAGTACTGCTTCTTTAGCACCAACGATGGAGGTGGTTATTGAAGGCGACAGGGGGGAGATTACGACCATACAATGGAAGAGAACAGACATGAAAACTCCACGCTTCGAGAGGTCGAAGAGAAATCCAGAAGTATTATCCGGCTATGTCCTCTCCAACACTGTTACTTGCAAGTTGGACCCTTTGAGTTCTCACTTAGTACGAGAGATGAGAACGAGTAAGTATTCAAGTGTTATCCAATCAATATTCATTTTATTATTTACACGTGCGTTTTCATAAAAGTGTGTTAAATACTTTGTCCTTTTTACAGTTCTACGACATTTGTGGAGACTGCGAAGTGCAAGGTGTGCCGGTTTCATTTGCTGAGTTTGAAACGTATTGTATGGCTGAATCGTGCCATTGTTGATGCATTTGGATACTACCTCAACGACCTGAATGTCGCGAAGAATGGGAAGCTGACAAAATGCATGTTCCCTATGATTTTTGCTATAAGTAAAATTAGGCTTTCAATGCATGTCATGAATAACCACGCTCTTCATTTTCTTCACAAGTTCTTGTTTTCAATGCAATCACAGGACAAAGCGAATGCTAATTTTAAGAGTGGGGCAACAATAACTGCAAGTCTCCTGGATGAGGCATTTTCCACACTTGATCAAGATCCAGTATTTGAAACTGCCGACTTCAAAGGATGAAATTATGTGAGTGAACTATTTATGGGTTAGAATATGAGTCTGGGTAATTCTAATACTATTCTGGGTTTTATGAATATTACTTGTTCTTATGCTGAATACTAAATCGGGTTTTATTATCATGTAACAGATGTTCTTTCCCAAATATGAGGACGACCACTACCTGGTTTATTCTGTGGACTTCATCAAGCAACAAACGTTCCTGTTGGATAGCATGAAGCCTTTAGAAAGTTATGCCAATAATGTTCGTGGACCGAAGGCGAGGAACTTGTTCAACAATGTGCAGACATTGATAGAGAGAAAGGGCGTATTGCTGGAGTCGCCCTTGAGTGAATGAGTGTTCAATGTTGCAGACGTACCACAATAAAATGGTAATGACGATTGTGGGGTATTCGCTTGCCAATACATGAAGCATTGGGAAGGCCACTTGGATGCTGCGTACAAAATCATTTGGCGAACCCAAGAGCACGTTGAGCTGCAACGTGCACTGCTTGCTGCGAGTCTGGTTTTGTGGGATGAGAATTTGAGGAGGGATGATATACTAAAGTGGGTGAAAGAGTGGAAGGAAGGGCAAGATGGAGGTAGTAAGAGACAGAAGATGTGAGTGTTGGTAGCCTACTAACTAAGTACTAAAAACAATTATTTGTGGGTAATTATTTATGGGGACAGTGGGAAATTATTTTGGGGGTGCAGGTCATGTATGGAGGTGTAATTATTTTGGGTTTGACCTCCCCTAATTAGGTGTTCTAATCAGGTTGAGTCATTATTTTGGGTAATTATTCATGGGGGACAGTGGGAAATTATTTTGGGGGTACAGGTCATGTATGGAGGTGTAATTACTTTGGGTTTGACCTCCCCTAATTATTTTTGAATATGACTCTGGTTTTTATGAATATGAGTCTGGGTTATTTGAATATTACTTTGAATGTGTTTGAATATTAGTTCCAATGTGCTTGATTCTAGTGTATTTATGTGTGAATATGACTCTGGTTTTTATGAATATGAGTCTGGGTTATTTGAATATTACTTTGAATGTGTCTGAATATGAGTTCGAGTGTGAGTGAATATGAGTTCGAATGTGTTTGAATATGAGTTCGAATCTGTTTGAATATGACTTCGAATCTATGTGAATATGAGATCGAATGTGTTTGAATATGATTTCGAATGTGTTTGAATATGAGTTCGAATCTATGTGTATATGAGTTTGAATGTGTTTGAATATGATTTTGAATCTGTGTGTGAATATGAGTTCGAATCTGTGTGTGAATATGAGTTCGAATGTGTTTGAATATGTTATTTGTGAATATGAGTCTGGATTTTTTGAATATGAGTCTGAGTTATTTGAATATTACTTGGATCCAAGTACTGTGCGGCCTGCCTTGGTCAAGTAAACACACAAAATGAGAGAGGCCCATCTACACTGGCGGCCCATTACGAAACCCACACTGGTGCAATCGCCTATTTCCTCTCCCGCCTCTGCCGTTCCCTTTCTCCCTTCCCCCATCACGAAACCCTTTCTTCCCTTTTCTCCCTCCCCCATCACGAAATCCTTTCTTCCCTTTCTCCCTTCCCCATCACAAAACCCACGCTCGAGCAGCATAAACAGTGAACCCTAGAGTTCCAGGTCCGCACCCGGCCATAGCTCTGTAGTCCTGCAACTTCGTCAGGTGAGACTCTTCCCATGGACCGCGACTACGAATTGCCAACTGATCCCCAAGGTTATACACTTTCCTTCCTTGCATCTTTCGATTTTGGTATTAAGAAGGTCTGTTCAACAGCCAGATCGTGCTCTCACACAATCTATTCCATATCACATGTACAATAGATCCGATTGTAGCATGCACACCATTTCATCTCCTTAACCTCGGCTGGTACGACTGCATACTTATAGCTAGATTGCTTAAGACGTGGGTGAAATATAGAAATGGCAAAACGTGGTGCAAGAGAATACTACATATGTTGTGGCTAGACAAAGAGGTATGTTTGCCAACTAAATCGTTTCATGCATCGTTTGCACCCACAACTTTACCTCGACCCTGCCTTCGCTGTCTTTTCACTGCGTGGTTTCACCTATTACATAGGAAAATTTGCTTGAAGCATGCGTTGAGGAAGATGACATTGATTCCATTTAGCTGCAGCTAAAGATAGATTGTCTTTATAAAATATGTGGAGTACAGGTCATCCCCGCCAAGGCTAGGATGCGCACAGCGCCCGCTTTAGTGCGATTGTCTTTCAGCAAATTTTCCTCATTTACGCACATCCAGGAGAATCGCAGTCGTATTCAATTCCCATGCAATGGCTTCCTCAGCAACCCATTTGTTTATGTTCCATTTGAACATGCAAATCCCTTATTTTGCTCAGGTTGCGTGATCCATCTACCTGTTTTGAACATGCACTATCATTCGGACGTATTCATTGGCTGACTGTTTAGTAAACTGGCAGATGTCACAGGTTGCGTGATCCATCTAACTCTCTCTAAAGTGCTGGAAAATGGTGATTCGCAATTCCAAATCATCATGGAAGAAGCTAGGTATTCTATACGTTAACACCCAGTTGTGTTGCTGCTACCTTGCACGCATTAAGCACTAACACTGTCTTTTACAACAACAATGGAGTGAGGGCAACTGTGCACTACTCGGGCCCGGAGGTTAAAAAGTATCTTACCTATACCCCGGGTGCAGAATTCCGTCTCCCCCTGATAACTACGATCACTGCAGTGACTAGGCTCCCTGCTGTGTTTGGAGATGATGCTCCTTATGAATTCAAATCCTCACCAGCAAGTCGACTGATCATTGCTTCATATAATCACCAACATGCATCTGTCATTAATAGGTACATCTAAATGACAGTATTATTTCTATTCCTTTGTTTGCCTAACACCTTTTACATTGAAAATGTATGCACTGCAATAATTTCTGACCTACACTTTAGATTCGTTGGCAACCGTAGGCCAGTTACTTACATTGACAAAGATACTGGACATCGTGTTGGACTCTTGCATGGCCAACGCCCGCCGGGAAAAACGCTCGGAGAACTACGACAAGATCTGGCACTTCAGGCGCATCGTCATGAGGTACATTTCCATACTCTTTTTTACACTACATATGTTGCCACACTATGTAATTTTTTGGGACCAAAAGCCTGAACAATGCTATTCTTGTTAAGGATCTCTATCTCTGCATGTTGGAGTGAGCACATAAAAACTTTGTTCACCTATGGCCGTGGCATTTGCAAGACAAGACCAGAATACCCAGAGTGAGCACATAAAAACTTTGTTCAAACAATAAATTTATCCTCCCATTAGCTTTGTAAGACAACACATGACCACGATCTTACGCTAGGCTGCATTATGAGTTGCGTGCCGAGTGCGCATATGGTAGTACGCGCGTCGAGATGACGTTCAATCATGAGGCCACGCTGTCGCTGGTTCAAATGGCGCCGGAAGAGTTTTGCACGAAGCCCCCGGCAAATAAGCAAAGGCTCTCATATGGGCTCGTTGCAACATGCCATTTGCCGCAGAAGTTTTTATCGCAAGGGCAGACGAACATATAGCCCCACACATCCGCGTTGCCACGCTATGGCACCCATCAACTTTCTAAAAATTACCAAGCTATGGCATCCACTCCGTCTTTTGCATATGACTTCTCGGCCGATCTGCCTACCACCTACATCTCTGTTTGGTTTATTTGAATGTGAGTCTGGGTTATTTGAATATGATTCTGGGTTATTTGAATATGAGTTCGAATATGCTTGATTTTAGTGTATGTTTTTTTTTAATATGAGTCTGGGTTATATGAATATGAGTCTGGATTATTTGAATATTTCTATAATAGCATTGTCACTAAAATAGCATTGAATATGAGTCTGGTTTTTTAGAAGCTCGCAAGGCCCTAAATATTAGTACAAAACAACGTTTCATCCAGGCTAAACAGTAGCTCGCAACAAACGTAATATGCCTTCACAAGAATGTGCATATTAGTACAAAATAACGTTTCATGTTGCTAAATAGAAGCTCGCAATGCCCTGAATATTAGTTCAACCAATTGCAGTATGATATGTTATCGTATAACAAATCATATCACAATTGGTTTCCCAAAAAGACATATCTAACCAACTACGATGCAAGCAGATCCATGGGGTCCTCTTTGTCATCCATGTTTGGACTTCCACGTTGAGTTTCAGGAACTTGCGACAGAATCTCCAAGTCCTTTAGATGCTTGGCATACTGAATCTTCTTCTTACCGCGAGCTTTCTCATTTCTGGACTTGTACCTTTCACGACCATGACTCCGTGGATTAACCTTTTGCTTCATGGTTAGGCCATTTAATGGCTGAGACCCCCCTGATATAAGACAAGTCATATTCAGTAGTAAAGTATGTAATATTCAGTAGTAAAGTATGTAATATTCAATGCAACAGTAATTAATATTCCGATTTGATGCTTACCGGTTTCACTTGTTATGGATCGGGACAAGGCATGGTCTGCCAACTTGCACATTTTAGATAGTGCTTTCATCCACTTCTCATACACTCCATCATCAGCAATAGACAATTTTGTAGAAAGCTTATTCAACATGGCAGTGGTTTCTCTATATCTCAATGCTGTGGTGTTACGTGCGATGTTGGCAGTGTATGGAGCCTCATCCGTTCTGGCACTTGTGGAGGATTCACCGACCTCTTTCTTTTTGGCATGTATGGTCCATCTCTTCAATATAAAATGTTCTGGCAGGATTTTCATGGCGAGATTGACGAAATTTCCAAGGTGGACCATCACCTTGAGGATGTGGCGACATATAATTCCCATGGAATTGAACAGCCTACAACCACATTCCAGCTGTGCGTTTGCCACATCAACGAAAACAACATGTTCATCCCAACGGACGTCATTTTTGGTGTAGAATGTTGTGTACCCAATAAATCCACCGTCCCTACCATTGTAGTGCGGCTCCAATTCGTACTCTACCATTTGTTGATATTGTTTTTCCACCCTTCTATACATGCGAGGAGTGTAAATCTCAGCAACTTGCTTGAGGATATTGCTGAATGGCGAGGAGATGGCAGGAACCTGATCAATGGATTCAAAGTCAAGAGTCCTCTCCTTGTATCTTTTATCCTCTACCAAACTGCAATTGGAAACATACAAATTAATATTCACGACTACTACAGAGCATATTCAATAGTATTGTATGTAGTATTTCCGAAAACAGTAACATCACACGTGTTAAAATGTATGAAAAACTGATCCAGCTGACGGTTTGGTTTCAGAAAATGTCGCACCGATGCATTGCAAGATTTGCAGGCCTGAGTTGTCAACATACCGGCAGTGAATTGACTTCTAAGCCAACATGAAGACCACTATTTCCGGAAGCCTAGCAGATACTGCAACCACGGGTCGCCATCCTCAAAGTCATCATCGGGGAAGTATTCACAAAGCATGTCCTTCCATGCAGTGTCGAATTCAACCTCACTATCAACCGTGTAGAATAAGTAAGTGAGGTGAATGCTTAGCTTTTTCCAAACATCCTTTTCCTTCTTAAAATGCTTCTTCGCATTCATTAAAATTTGCCACGTACATAATGCATGGAAGACACCGGGCCACTCATTACGAAGTGCTTTGGGGATAGCCGCATCCTGATCGGCGAAGATGGTGGTTGAGAGCTTCTGATCCATGCAACGATGAAACGCATCAAATAACCACTCGAAAAATGCACTAGTCTCGTCATACAGCAAACACGCCCCAAATATGCAAGTCTGTCGGTGGTGGTTGAAACCAACAAACATTCCTACATAACACATTTTGAAAAGTTCATTATTGTCACCGTCCATGGTAATATTCATACATTCCAGACTAGTATTCAAAAAATTCGGACGAGTATTCAAGCTATCATGACTATCACACAATGTATTTGAATAGAAATTATATGCAAACAACAGAAGAAAACACGTACCCAATGGGCGATAGACTTTGTTCGTACGGTAAGTTGTGTCGAAAGAGATCGAGTCACCAAACAATTTATAATCAGCCCGCATCTGGGTATCCGACCAGAATATGTTAGAAACTTGCTCATCACAATCAACTTTCACGGAATAATAAAATCCAGGTTTGATTTCCATTTGCTTCTGAAAGTACTCCAACAAAAAAGTTGCTTCACCATGTGCCATGTTCTTCTGTCTTCGCTTGTTCAGATGGTTCTTTTGGTCATTCTTAGAGAAGCTAAGACTTTCATAACCACCAGCACACATAGCAAGTAGCTTGTAATACGAGCTCAAACTAACACCAGCATCCGCATTGGCTTCAACCATCAGACCTTCAGCCTCACTAACACTTTTGTTAGACCTCTAAAACTGTGCATGCTCCTTTGAGTGCAGTTCATGATTGTGTATATTGTTGAAATGACTAACCACGAATGCATTCCTATCGACATCCCACCGAAAGGCAACACGAGCTGTACACCCAACCCTTAACTTGTTTCTTTTTCTTTTACGCTGGGTTTTAAAAATGATACTATCCTCCGATCGTTTCTTAATGACCTTTGGATTTCTAATACTCACCTTTGAAAAGCCTTGTTTGTTGCAACAATAGTAAAGGTACCAATACTTTTCCTCAAGCTCTCCCTTGTTGTTCTTGCCCAACCTCGTGTGTTCGTTGTATACTCGAACACCAAAACCTTGGTCATGACCATATATTGAATAGAAGCTATTGCAATCATCTACTTAATTGAATTGCAAGTTCTTCCTTAAGCACTCATCTTCTAGTGCTGCATAGCCTGTCATTGGAATTGCACAAATGAATACAATTAGTCAAATCCAACCAATAAAAGAATTCAATACAAGGTCACCTAGTATTCATTACAATCTCAACGAATATTCATTAGAATGTCCACGAATAGTAGTTACAATGTCAACGAATATTCATTACAATGTCAATGAATATTCATTAATATGTCAACGAATATTCATTAGAATGTCAACAAATATTCAATAGAATGCCAACGAATATTCATTAGAATGTCAACGAATATTCTTCTAAAGATGAAGGCGTATTAATTAGAATGTAAATGAATATTCTTTAAAAGATGAATGCATATTCATTAGAAGGTCAATGAATATTCTTTTGAAGATGAATTTGTATTCATTAGAAGGTGAACGAATATTCTTATAAAGATGAAGCATATTCATCTTCAATATTCTTTTGAAGATGCATATTGAAGATGAATATGTACTAACTAATATTCGATGACGTAAAAGTAATATTCATGAAATTTAAAAAGTAATATGATCATTACGGTTAACTATATTCATGCAAGCGATATTCATGTTTATGTTCCTCCACCAGGGATATTCAGGATAGAACCACCAAGTATTCATGCAAGCACAGAAAACCATGCAAGAAACCCTAAAACATAATAAATGCAAGCACCATAAATGTAAACCCTAACACATTCAATGCTGATCAACAACCAAAATATATATAAGTCTAAATGGATCTATATTTTTGGTCTTCACATACCCCCTTCTATTTCATCAACTGCGGTCATCCACTCTTGCGAGCCCCACAAACCATCAGATGAACCATCCGCTTTGAGGATGGTATCAGCAAGGTTCTCTTCTGGTTCGTCTCCTTCGACATTACATTTATCGTTTTCAGTCGACAGATCTTCATCTTCGACATCATCCCCCATCTTCGACAGACTATCTTCCCTTCCTTGCATCTCCTTCTTCTCTTTGAAGGACCGATCTTGCATCAGACCTGTCCTTCCTGCGTTTTTCTGGTGTTCTAGATTCTGGTATTCAATGGCGGACGAAGAGAAAAGATGAGGAAGAAGAGAGGTGTGAGATTGAGAGAGAGAGAGAGAGAGAGAGAGAGAGAGAGAGAGAGAGAGAGAGAGAGAGAGAGAGAGAAGTTGGTAGTTGAGGTATTAATCAATGTAGTGAGGTGTGAGATTGAGAGAGAGAGAGAAGAGTTTTTTGGGGGCTGGATTTTTCGCCAAAAATCCCGCCAAAACACCCAAAAACTTGCCCAAACCCCACCCATCTCTCACTCCTCGGCCCCACCAGTACCTTCAGCTCGACTTCCCCACAGCTCAAGCGCGCCTCGTCTCCTTCCCCGAGCCCGTGTCCCAGCCGATCAATCCTGGCCCTCTGTTGCTGGCTTGGGCGACGTGGCCCTCCCCTTGGGCTGTGAGTTGGTGCACACAGATATATGTGTGTGTACCATAGCGAAATTGATAATATACATACAATAAAATTGGTTCACTATTTCCGAGAAACTGTAACAGAAAATACATGTTCTGTTATATTATGTAAGCCCGAATTTAGAAAAACATATATACTCGTGAATTTGGAAAGTTAGGCGGAAGGGATGGGAAGAAAGAACGGTCGGCCGACCGCTACAGTTAAGAGGCAAGTCCGGCCGCCACAACTAAAAGCCAACTGCGGCGGAGTTGAGGTCACAGCCCCCCTCCCCCAAAACATGCCTCCTTTCCACCATGCACACTCCCTAAATTCTTGCTTTCCATTTTCGTTTTCCTAATCCGTTATCCGCCAATTTAATTATCCAATTCTCGCTATGTTACGAGCTAACAGTCGGGAAAAATCCCAAAATACACATGTTTAAAAAAAATCTAAAATACATACGTTATAAATTTCCCCCCCCCCCCCTCCAAAATACACATATTTGGGCATCACTGCGGTTGTCAACCGCAGTGAATTCATTTACCGCGGCAGAAGAAAGCGGTGAATGCATCACCGCGGTTGACGGTCGCGGTGAATGCCTAAGGTAACTCCGAAACTTCAAACAAACGTAAATTTGAGCTCGGTTACCCGATTGTAGTAAATTCTTTTTTGATTCCACATAACTTTTCAAGATCTTTCAATATGCAACAAGCCTTCATCCAAAAAAAATTCCGTTTGCTACCCCGAACGACCAATTTTTTTATTTTGACAAACTTTGGAAGACCATAACTTTGTGCTCCGCAATCCGAATGTCGTGAAACTTTTTTTGATTTTGCATAACTATTGAAGGACAACAACTTTGATTATAACCATAATTTTGGAATGTAAGTGGTTTTGTGAAAAGTAAAGGCAAAGTTATTCATAAAATCCTGTATACCCAAAAATATTTCTTTTTTCAAAATTTATTTCCTAGTTAAAGTTTTAGTTTTTAAAAAGTCATACGCAATCAAAAAAACTTTACGATGTTCGGATTGAGGAGCTAAAATTTATGGCCTTCCAAAGTTTGGTAAAATCGAAAAATTGCTCGTTCGGGGTAATAAACGACATTTTTTTATATGAAGAATTTTTGCAGGTTGAAAGAACTTAAAAAGTTATGTGGAATAAAAACAAAATTCGCTACAATTGGATAACCGAGCGCAAAATTACGGTTGTTTGAAGTTTTGGTGCTACGTTAGGCATTCACTGCGGCCGTCAACCGCGGTGATGCCAAAATTTGTGTATTTTGGGAATTTTTTTATAACGTGTGTATTTTGGAAATTTTTTTTTAAACATGTGTATTTTGGGATTTCATCCCTAACCGTTGTTGGATTGCATGTTTCGTGATGCATGATAGTTTGGTGCACACAAGATTAACATTTAAAATTAGGGTAAATGCCAAGTTTGGTCACTAGGTTTACTAAAATGTATCATTTAGTCACTAAAAAAAATTAATATCAAATTTGGTCAATCGAATTAGTAAAACGGTTTATGTTTAGTCACTCTCCATTTACTTTGTCTGATGTGGCAGTCAACGCTAACAGTTGGCCGTTAAATGTCTGACGTGGCAATTAAAAAAATAATTTATTTTTTAATATTTAATTTTTTAATTGTCATGTCAGATACCATTGATATGTGTGTACTTACCCATTTGATTACTTGTTATTTTAATGATGTCGAAATATTAAAAAAATTAAATTAACTTTTATTAATTTTTGTAATTGTCACGTCAGACATTTAACGCTCAATTACCACATCAAACAAAGTTAACAGAGAGTGATTAAATATGGACCGTTTTACTAATTCGAATGACCAAAATTGATATTAATTTTTTTCAGTAACTAAACATGACACATTTTAGTAAACTCAATGACAAAACTTGGCATTTGCCTTTTAAAATTATCATTGCACGCAAAAATTAAATGATCATGGAGTTCGGAGTCCACAATCCGATTCTCATTCGGTTAAATAGTAAATGCAACATCCCAAACTTTTTTCTAACAAAATATTGGTTGCTTTGAGCTAGACCTTCACGATTTTGACTTCTTGTGCAATGCTTCGGAGGACATACGAAACCAAACACTCACACGTCAGACTGAAAGCCACCGCCTGGTTTCTGTTCTGGTATTCATTTTGTTTTTCTTTTAGGTGACCAATCCTTTTTTTTTTTTTTTTTTGCAGTTTTAGGTGACCAATTCAATGTACCCAAAACCGAACAAATGATGAATGCACTAAAAAATATATATAAAAAAAAGAGATCAATAAACATTAATTATATACTCCAATAGAAGGAAAAGAGGAAAATAAGATTAAAAAAAACTGCAAAATTCTGAGGGGCAAATACATTGCATGTGGGCAATGTTCCAGTGCGGTGCATCCCCACCGTCCTGAATATCCATTCCCTTCCATACCACTCAAATACCCACCCACCTTGACGCAATTCCATTCCATTGTTTGTTTATCTTCTTCTTCTTCTTCGCCTCACCCCCTTTCATTTCTACTTTGCTCCTTTTTGCCCTCTCCGTAGGGTTCACCCATGCTCATCTGGCTCTGCTGATATCTCTCCTGTATGATTCCCGGTTTCCTATTTCTCCAAAGTTTACTGCTGCTGATCGTGTTCGCCGTCGCTGTTTCGCTCCTTTTTGCTCTCTGTGGAGGGTTTCCCGTTTCTCAACGGTGTAGTGGGTTCGATCTCCCGGAGTTTCTTGAGCTGTGTCGATGTCTCAGCTCTTCGGATTTGCTGGTAAGTCCTCGATTTCCCCGCCTTTCATTTCTTTTGAATTGCTTCTCTGCTTCTGGATTTTGTAGATTTTTGTAAAAGTTTTGAGCTTTTTTCCTCCCTTTATTGTGGGTTGATCGGATGATGGATAGCTTGGTTTTGATCTTCAAAATTTCTTATCAACTTTAATTTCCCGTGTTTTGGATCTGATTATGGGAAGCTAGGAAAGGGTTTGATTCTGGCTAGTGAACTTATTGGTTGCTTATGTTCCTGTCTGTATAATCTGAGAGAATTAGAGGGTTCGCTTAGTTATAGGTTGAGGTCAACGACTGGAGTTATGTCTTCAAGCTATCTGGACATTTAATTTGATGTTTGAACATGAAAAGGATAACAGATCTACTTCTTTCAGCTTATGATGGAGCTTTTGGCTGTTGTTAGTCTTACAGTTGTGCTGTATTTTCTTGAACATAGACTATTTTGTAGAAATTGGCAGCTGTGAATGAGATTATTGAACTCTATCGGTTGTTCTTCTGCAGGAAGTGACGACTTTCACTCAGGGGGCACAGTATACACGAACCCCAAGGACCCGAGCCTCTTTTTGCCGCTTGGTCACCATGTCGATCTATACTATCCTTCGTGCAAGAGGTCTCGTGTCAGTGTTCCTTTCATCTTCGATGGAGGGATGTTTGAGCCAAAGAAGCAGACTTCTCTCGAGGTTCTGCCGGATGAGTGTCTCTTTGAGGTCTTCAGACGCTTGGAGGGCCAAGAAAGGAGCTCATGTGCATGTGTTTCAAAGCGCTGGCTTAGCCTTCTCAGCAGTATCCGCCGGGAGGAACTTAGCCATGTGAAAGTTTCAGAAAAGGTGATCTCGGAGTCTGTTGAAGAGACTGAAGGTGAAGGTTATCTTTCAAGGATCTTGGAGGGGAAGAAAGCTACAGATGTAAGAATTGCAGCAGTTGCAGTTGGAACTGCTACTCGCGGTGGATTGGGCAAGCTTTCCATTCGGGGTTGCAATTCTAGTCGTAAGGTGACAGATGTGGGCCTTAAGGCTGTTAGCCGGTGCTGCCCTTCTCTAAGGGTACTTTCTCTCTGGAATTTGTCATCTGTGACTGATGAGGGGCTTAGTGAAATTGCTGAAGGATGCCACCAGCTGGAGAAGCTTGATCTCTGTCAGTGCCCTGGGATCACTGACAAGGGCTTGCAGGCTCTTGCAAGAAACTGTCCTAATCTCACAGACCTTACAATAGAGTCGTGCCGGAACATTGGGAATCAAGGCCTACAATCTGTTGGCCAGTCTTGTGCCAATATAAAGTCGATCTCGATCAAGAACTGTCCAGCTGTTACTGATCATGGAATTGCTGGTCTGGTATCTTCAGCTTCATATTCATTGACAAAGGTGAAGCTTCAGGCTTTGAACATCAGTGATGTGTCTTTAGCTGTGATTGGACACTATGGAAAGTCAGTTACAGATCTTAGCCTCTCCAGCCTTCCAAATGTCAGTGAAAGGGGATTTTGGGTCATGGGCAATGGCCATGGTCTACAGAAATTGAAGTCACTCACTGTGACATCCTGTCGTGGGGCCACTGATGCCGGGCTCGAGTCGGTGGGTAAGGGTTGTCCAAATTTGAAGCAGTTATCTGTCAACAAATGTGCTTTCCTATCTGACAATGGATTAGTTGCATTTTTGAAGACCTCAGCAGCACTAGAGAGCGTGCAATTGGAAGAGTGCTACAGGATCACCCAGTTTGGGTTTTTTGGTTCCCTTTTAAACTGTGGCACGAAGCTGAAAGCTTTCTCTCTGGTGAACTGCATGAGCATTAGGGACTTGACTGCTGGAACACCTGTGCCGCCTTCCCAATGTGATTCCCTTCGATCAGTGTTCATCCGCAACTGCCCTGGGTTTGGTGATGGCAGCTTGGCCTTTTTGAGCAAGCTGTGTCCTCAACTGCAGAATTTGGAATTCACCGGTCTCCAGGGTGCGACTGATTCCGGGTTGCTCCAAGTACTCGAGGGTTGCAAGTCCGGGCTAGTGAAGGTTAATCTCAGTGGTTGCATCAATTTGTCCGACACAGTTGTTATGGAGATGGCCAAGCACCACGGTTGGACCCTCGAGACCCTGAATCTTGAGGGTTGTAGCAGGATCTCCGATGCAAGCTTGGTCGCTATTGCAAAAGGCTGCCTCTTGCTTAGCGATCTTAATGTCTCGAGATGCTCAATCACTGATGCTGGTGTTGCATCCCTGGCTGCTTCTTCTGGCCTGCTCGGTCTACAGGTCTTCTCTGTCTCAGGTTGTTCCATGATAACAGACAAGAGTTTCTCAAGCCTGGTGGAGTTGGGACAGACTCTTTTGGGGCTGAATTTTCAGCACTGCAGTGGGATCAGTAGCAGCACCTCGGAACTACTTATCGAACGACTGTGGAGGTGCAGTGTGCTTTATTGAACCAAGAACGGTATTCAATACTCAGAATTTAGCCAGCAGCAGCAACAGCAGCCTTTGTGTAGTTTCTTTCGGTCTCCAATCAGCCAAGTAGGGTTTGCATTCTTCCTCTCGAGGACTCGGTTTCCTTTTTCCTAGGTACATGGCCATTCTCTTTTTTTCGCAGGCTTTACCTCTTCCCGGAGGGTAAGCCTGTTAGAAGTCTATTTAGCTCTCCCTAAGACCCTAACAAGTGGGGGAGAGCGGTAAAACTTTCTTTGTGGCCAGTAGTTTCCCTAGAGAATACTGTCAACTGGGTTCTCGTTCTTCTTCTGCCTTTCCCTAGGGGTTTTCTTCCTTTTTCTTCTTCCTGGTGTTTTAGCTTGAGCCTTTTGATCTGGGTTCATTCCCCCCATCATTGGTGTTTGGGTGAAGCTTTTCCTTGTTGGTTCCAATCAGTGTCAAGGAGTCGGTCGGTGAGTCTGCTACTAGCTATGGTCTTCTATTTTGCTTTTTGTAATCATGTTGTGAGACGTGGTGGTTGTTGGGTTTGTGTTTTCGTCGAAGGGTGGTAGAGGAGAGCCTTGAGAGTCAATGGTCTTTATTTACAGGCTGTTTAATAAGAGTTTGGTGGTGGGAATCTGGTCTGGCCTGTTGGGTTTTTTTGTCTTGGAGTTCTTGGCCATGGCAGCATGTTATATCGCTTGCTATGACAACCTTCTTCAATGGAGGGTTGTATTTTTACCAAGCTCCTTGTTTTTCAACAGGCCAAAAAGTCTCCTTCGCCATTGCTCTGTTTTCCGAAGCTTGTAACACTAATGTGTATTATGTAATGAAAGATGATCTCTCCTCCAATCACCCTTTGTGTTCTGTGACGACGATAATGATAATAAATAAATGGTTCTGATTATTCAGATGTCTCTTTTCTTTATTATGTTTACAACTGTTCGTCTTGTTGAAAGCTGTTATGTATGAAATGGAATGATGGGCCATTGATGTGCCGTGGAAGATGCTTTGTTTAAATGTTGAGGAAGGCTGTCTCCTTTGAAAGTAACAGTATGAATATTGAATGGGATTTGCTTTTGACGATA